TATTTAATTAATTTAAGCAACAATTTATAAATTTAAACTATACAAGAGTAATAGTTCACAGACATATCATTTCATTGTTGGTTTTCATCTTGAGTATACATTTTGAACAAATTATTATCAAAATAATGAATATATAAAAATTTTGATTTTTTAAAATAAATTTATTAATTGACAATAAATCTTATTTTGTATGAAATAACTATAATTATTACATGCGCATACATTTTATGTGTTTATTTAAAATAAAGAAAAATTGAATTCAGAAGTGACTCTAAACTTGTTTTTGTGGGAATATTTGGATATTGAAACATATTCCAGGATTCTTTTATTTATTATCATTTTTTATTATATTTAAATTCATAGCATAGCAATATAAAATATATTGACGTTGAAGAAAGTTTTGGTTTTCAAACATCCTGCCAAATCATATATTAGAAAACATATACAAAGTTAAACCTCAAAAAAATGTCAACTCTTATTATTGACATCATTTTATTAATGACATAGAACTCAGAAATCATTAAGTTTTAACTTGTAAATCAATCCAATAATAATAAGGGTTGTCACTATTGGCAATGATGACATGATACTATTCAACAGTGACGGTTCTTTCTGCAGTTTTCAAAACATAAATTGAATTTGATTGTTTATTGCTCATACTCCAGCCAAAATCCCAACCTATGACTTCAACTATTGCTTGCCACTAACATGACGCAGAATCACACCATGTATTCAAACTTGACTTCCTCTTATTGTCTGAGGCCTTCCTTGTACTCGTTTGTCCGTCATGTTTAGGCTCCCCCACACCGTGCTCTAGAAAAAATGTGACCAAAAAAATAAATTGTGGTTCTGCAACCTTGATTTACTAAAATTTACTTGTCTACATAATCCCATCATACAACCTTGTACATTCTTATTCGTTTTTTGTTACTTTCATTTTGTTGCTTCGATCATTTTACATGTGAGAAAAGATACAATTCACTCTACAAATTTTCTCAACTTTACTTGCTCACAATGCATCAATTATAACTCTGATTTACCTTAGAGATCTCAAAACTGCTTGCTCACTTTCCACAATTAATAATTATATATAAATTAACGATACTATATTAGACTTACTAAAAACAATATGATATTTGAATTCAAAAATAAACGTCAAGAATGTTATTATATGCCATATGATACGCTAAATATTTTGTGGATCGGCTAAACGTGCAATAAGAATGATTTTCTATCATACATTGAATGTTATTCAACCTTGTATGAGTGACATATCCCAACAGTGACTTAAAATTCTAGCACCAATGTAAGTCACTATTGAGATGTTTAACTTTATAAAGAGTTTAATCTCCCAATATTGTCAACTCTTAATATTGACATTAAAGTGAAGAACCATTAGATTGTAGCTTGCAAATCTTGCAAATAAGAAGAGTTGTCACTATTGATAATAGTGACATGATAGCCTCAAATAGTTTCCGTCACTTAGTTTAAAGTTTTAACATTTTGAGAAAAATTCCTTCCAAGTTCACCAATAGAGCTTTTTAGAAAACCTCCCTTTTCAAACAACATGGACAAAAATCAATTGAAAAATAAAACCAGAGCATTTGGAGGCAGAATACAATCCTTTGCTTCTCTACACTTTGGAAATCTAACAGTCTTGATCTCACAAGCAAGGCAAAACTGCTTAACGTCATTGATGATCTCGAGATTTCAAAAATTATTTTAATCCAATATTGTTTTAATTCCAAATCTAACTATCCAATAACTTCTCTCTGCTTCCAGTGCGATCAAACATATTGATGTTGCTTCATCGTGAGTGATTCCAAGTTGATTGAGACAATTGAAAACCTCCAATCTCGTCTGGACATCCAAATGCTTACTCTTGGATATTTTTGCAAATTCTCGATGAACAATGTAGAATAGAAAATGAAGAAAAAGCGCGCCAAACGATGCACTTGTAGAAGTTTGTGTTACACGTGGAACACTTCAACGTTCAACACGTGCAACTCTAAAATTCAGACCTGATGCTACGAAACCTTCTCTAAGTGACATCTCCCAATAATGACACTTAACCCGAGTACCAATATGTGTCACTATTGGAAGGCTAAACTATGTACATACAAATCAAATTCTATGTATATTTCACTTAAAAGATCTGATTTTCTAACGCATCTCTATTAAAAAATAAAAATTAATCTGTACATTTTTGAAATATCTTAAAGAAAAACCAAATCAATGTGAAATATAAAATTACTTTCTAAAATAACACGAGGTAAAATCTTTTATATGTTATCATCAGAACAATACTTAATCTTTAATGATCATTCTCAAATGATAAATTACAAATGTAAATTACTATTTATGTAATTTTCAATCAATTTGATTATCAATGATGCAATTTAAATTCGTTTAAACAAATTTTATTTGAATATATTGATTTTCACGCTACATGTTTAGATGATGAAAAACAGAAATGTTTATCAAATTTGTAAACATATTTAAGATATGTTTTTCATCAATTTGGTATTTTTTACTTAATATTATAAAAGACCCATTGTACAAAATTTTGTATCATTTATTATCAAATTATTTGAATTAAGATATAAATTAAAAAATAATAAGCTTATAGTGTAGCCTCAAAATATGTAGGTTTTTGAGTATGTTCAAATAGTATAGAAATGAAATGTAAATCTCTTTTAAAGCTTTTGCGTTATAGTTTTTTAAATAAATAATGATACTATATTTTCAATAAAATATTATTTTTTTTGTATTTTCTCAATATGAAATTTATATTTATAACTTAAATTTATTCGTAGGATGAACTTCATGTTGCTTCAAACTAAGTTGTTCAACTTGATACGAAATTAATCATATTGATGAAAATTTTGTGAGTTTTGATAAATTTACACATCTTGTCCATAAATAGATTAAAAGAAATTGAAATCATTCCAATCATTTGAGTTCATATTTATCATATAATATTTTATGCTATTTTATGTTAGCTCACGATTGAAATATCGTTATCAGTTATGTGTTTTGAACAAGTTTATAATATAAGTTTTTCATAATGTTAGACTTGCTGTGATGCTTGTTGTGGCACTCAAGTATACATACTCCACAGTAAACAAACATGTATATGTTTTAATTCAAAATTAATTTGTGAATATTCAATTCTTCATTTAATAAAGAATGAATTAATTTACACTATTTTTCAAATACATATTTGTTTGATTTTGAATAAAAATGCAAAATAAAAACTTATTTGCATTTTACTTCTATTTATATTTTTTGGATAAAATGTACAAAAATTATATATGAAAAAAATTATCAAGACCAAATCATATTTAATGAATTTGATAATCAAAATTTCAAGATTTATTCAGAAAATGTTACGCACACAAAGAACTCATAAAATAAAAAGAAAAAGTAAAATTCAGTTTTGAAAAAAATAACTAAATGTTGTGTTTCATTGAACATATAGATATTCTTAAACTCACATATGTTGAGCAATACTTTTGTTGTTCTAATAATAGCTTGTTTTTTAAATTTTTGTGTTTTTTCCATGATGTATACATATACTGTTTTCTATATTGTATATGCTTTAAAGGGTAAAAATACATATTAAATAATAAACATTCAAATAGGAAAAAATATATATAACGGTATGATATATAAAAAATATATATCATGAGCTTTATGTTATAATAATATTGAAATTTATTGATATAAATCATTAAAATTTAATATACTGAAGATTTGTTGCCATTAAATATACGTGAAATAAATTTGAAGAAATTCAATAAGTAATTTTATAACGAAAAAACTATGTACAGTTTTTTCAACTCATATCTGTAAAATTTAAACTCAGCTGTTTCAAAAGGACTCTGAGAGAATATATTTTTGGTAGTCGTCGGATGTATATGTTTTAATGAAAATGCCTAGATTTGTGTAATGAAGACAAAAATAGCAGTATCAATTCCTTTAAACATCCAAAGTCATAACGGTAGATTAGAGACTGGAGCCGATTTTGACCATAGCAATGTCTACCGTACGGTGAGGTGGAGGAGGTATTCTGTGCTAGGACTTCGTACGTACAGTAAATGATGCCGACTTATGTGAACACGATAAAAATAAATTTGTTGAAAGGGGCGAGCCTGAAAGCAGTTTTGGAAGCGAGTACAAATGTCTGCGATCAAGGAGACGCTCTGAGCATGGGGTTCGCGATAGCGACACATGTCGACGAGGAGCCCAGGACGATGACCTTCGCTAATCCTTGGACTCGGTGGAAAACGAGCCAGATTTCAATCTGCATGTGGAAATAGCGAAAGCTCGACTCGTCATCGCTGAAGAGATGGCCGGACGGGCCCGCCTGCCCGTGGACGGAAGAAAGGGACAGAGTAGAGGACGAGGAGGAGGAGGAGCAGGAGGGGGAGGGAGACAGACCTCCGGGTGTGGTGTGATCCGACCACGACTCGACTGGACTCGAGTCAAGTCCACGGTGCGTACAGTGGTGGTGGTGGTGGGGGTGGTGAGCCAGGCAGCACCCAGGAGTCCAGGACCGGGGGAGATTCAAACAAAAGGAGGAATGGACATATCGGGCTCCAGTAGTAGCCAAGGCAGTAAATAGTAAGGAGTCCAGCTGGTTCTCATCATCGCTCCAAGGCCTGAATGATTCCGCGGCCCTTAAAGTCCAGACTCCGGAGGCGCACCTTGTGAAGGACCCGCGCCAGCCATTCACGAATCGCAAGCCCCGGCGCGCCAGCGTGACCCGCAGGACCCCGACCAGACCGGCCAGGTCACCGGCTGGAGAGCGCGGAGGCTCCAGGTCCAAGAAGTCGAGCAAAGGCCGTGGTGGCGTCTTAGCTCAAGGATCAAGCCAAGCGAGGAGCAGATCCGGAACAGAGCCGAGGAAATCTTGAGAGCCGAGCCGAGCTGAGCCCAGGCCGAGGGATCTGAGCTTAAGGAAGGAAGAGCGAGGCGGGGAAGGCCGGGGTCCCGGGCTGGGGGGTATTCTTTGCTCGCTTGCCCTCTTTCGCTTTTCATCTTTGGCGTGCGTGCGTTGTGTGAGCCTGTGAGGAGAAGTCCGGGCTGGGCTGGCTGGCTGGCCCGCTGTCGGTCCGTCTGTCATTCTGCCTGCCTGCCTGCCTGCCTGCCGCATTCGCCCGAACGAGCGAGCCAGGGAGCGAGGGAGGGAACGGGACGAGGGCAAAGGAGCTTCTACGACGCCAGTCGAAGCTCTCTCGCCCGCCCTATCACACGACGACCATCTGATCTTTTGTGTCTCGGACTCTTCCCCTCTCATTGTCCAAAACCAGAAACAACAAAGAGAAGCGGAGAGAGCGAGAGATTGCGAGAGCGAGAGAGAGGTCGGGGGAGGAGGAGGAGCAGCAGCAGCAGCAGCAGCGGGAGCTACTGCTGGAGCAGGAGAAAGAGAACAAGAGGAGGGAGGAAAAGGAGTGGAGGGAAAAGATTGGCTATGGCGGGGAGGTTTGAGAACATTGATCGTCGGGAGAGGGAGTGTTTCCATCGCCTAATTATCATCAGGGTGCCGCTTGCCGTTCACTGCAACATCCACTGAGGACGACGAGCCCAATCTATTTCATCAATCTAGAAATCGTTGTTTATGTCAATCGCGTTTGGAGTTGGTGGGAAGCAGCGCGAGCAAGAGAAGGAGAAGGAGAACGAGCGCGTGAGCGAGGAAGCGTGAGGGAGCGCAGGAGAGCGTTTTTGTGGAGGACGCTTGTCTTTTGATCCGGGGTAGTAAGGTGGAAGACGAAAAGGCGGTGGAGCAAAGATAGGATAGCGTGAGGAGGGGACGAAATCTTCGTATAGGGCTTTGAGTTTGAGGTTTGAGAAGCTTAGGGAAAGGGGGAGACAATAGGATGGATCCCGTTGTCGGATTCGAATTTATGCGAGCTTCGGTACAAGGAGTTTTCGATTGGTGGGATCAAGTGAATGAATCACCGCTCTGGCAGGAACGCATCTTCTTTGGTCTGGCGATAGCATATGGGACCATCGCTCTTGCTGCTCTCGTACGCTACTTTATCACCTACACTTGGTGCATCTTGTTAGAAGTTTCAGGACTGATGATGTACGATGCTTTTCCTCGTTTGAATTGCTTCAAGGATTGGTCTCTTGGTGATTCCTCGAGCCCTGAAGTGGGCTTTGTTGGATCATGTGGTTGAATACGAGTGGCTAGAACATGAAAATTTGCTTTGTTTCGCTGTTGCTGCTGGCAGATCCAACTTGTCCGGATCGAGATTAGAGTACCTGAGTTTGGCTGGACCACACAGAAAGTTTTCCATCTTCTCAACTTTGCAGTCAATGGAGGTATGTGAAGCTTCAAGCACAAACTTGTGCCCCGTTTGCCGTGCTGAACGATTTTATTCCTTGGATTCTCGTGATGCTAAGTACACGTTGTTTCCGCTGCAGTAAGGGCGTTTGTCTTCCTCTACCGAGATGAGGTCCAATACTTGAGTCCCGAGGTAAGATCCTACTGCTCGTAATGGTTGGTTACAAGATATCTTGAAGTGTTTTCTGTACAGTCTTTCAGTTGGGGAACCCCCTATCTTACTCAGTTTCGGTTCGATGAGATGAATCGTCTAATTCTTTTGATCCTTTGATGCGCTAGGCTTTTGTGAATATGTAGATGTTAATCATGACCCTGAATTTTGTTGGTTTCCCCGCAGATATGGCAATCTGTTCTCTTGGACTTGCCCGGTCTTCTCTTCTTCACCACATACACACTTCTGGTCCTCTTTTGGGCCGAGATTTACCACCAGGTTTGTGTGTGTTTATATGTGTATCTCATCCCGTCCATGTGTATTTCTATGGTTTTGTACAATTTTCCAGGCAGCATCGCAAGTTCTTTCGGAAGTATTGGGGTTTAAAAATGACCTTGTTTGCCAATTCTGAGTCTTGGTACAATTCTTGGGAGCCTAGGTTAAAAGGAAATGTCTAATCGGTCCGCAATTGTCTTCCTACAGGCTCGGAGTATGCCGACTGACAGACTTCGCCCAGCGTTTTTTGTAATAAATGCTCTAATCTACATTGCCCAGGTACAAGAATGCTCAGATGTCGTCGTACATTGCATTACATTTCTCCTCTTTCAAGTTGCACCCCATTCCTTGATGTTATCACGTCCACTTGGCATTCCTCCTCTCAGGTTAGATATATTTCCTTGTTCATAGATTTTTGCAGTCACAATCCATTTTCTATACTCGCAGGCATTTTTATGGGTCTACTTATGGTGGTCTCCAAGTGCAGTGGTGGAAACAATCTCGAAGTTGTTCTTCGCCTGTGAGTCCCTCTACTTTCTTTTTGTTCACAAGTACAGTTTGATCTCATATCTCTGTGACATGACTGCTATGAGTTTGTTCTTTTTCAGTGTTTCGGATGTCGTTTCCATGTAATTTTTCTGTTAAATTTTCGAGGGGTTAACTTGTTCTGCGTTGTTTCACACTGACATAGTTTAGTCTAAAAATAGACTTCTGATTGTCCAGGTCCAGCTTTATCATTGCGGATGTTGTGTTATTGATATGTGTTTCTTTTTCCGGATCCCGAACTGCGTATCAATATAACATTTTTCTGGTGTCGATGCAGGTGTATCCCTCGCCGCCGCTGTCGGCTTTTTGCTCTACGGGGGCAGGTACAGAACATTTATGCCTTCTTCCCTAGTGTTTGCCTTTTATGGGAGTCATGAATCTTGAGTTCTCAGCAGTCTGATCTGTATTTTGATCGTTCAATATGTTTTGGGTCTTCTGTAGGCTGTTCCTTATGCTTCGACGGTTCCCTATTGAGTCCAAGGGTCGGCGGTCGAAATTACGGGAGGTAAGTATTTCAGATTAGTTTGAACTGATATTGTTACGTTTGGAACGTTTCTGGTGTCCACATCAGATTCTCATTAGGATCTTGTTAAGCTGCACTGTTCGAGCACGTAATAGCCTATTTCATGTCTTAGAGATAGTGCCTCCTCTTGTGCCACTGTAGCATTAGGTCCTCGTTATAATTGGGCTTTGTAAGCTTGCAAAGCCCAATTATCAGTCAAAATTACGAGAAGTCTCGCTTGCAAAGCCCAATAAACACTTTTCGTGTTTTTGGCAACTAAAAAAATTAACTTGATGGGGTGCAGGTTGGCGCCGTTACTGCCATATGCTTCATTTGCTTCACGATCAGATCAATCATTGTAAGTCTTGTGTGCACGGCTTTATGTACCGTTGCTGTCTTTGTTTGTGCGGCAGGATCTAAATTAGTTTAATCATGAATTTCCTAGCCATCAGTTCGTGTCTTCCACCTCTTTTGCTTGCGGGCAATGTATGTTTTAGAAATTTCCAGCTGCAAGAAGAGAAACAGGAAGGAGACGTGTTGCCGTACCTCGTTTTAGGTGGTATGGACTTGCGTGAACATGGAACACTCAACTAAGCTTTGCAAGCGGTTTGCTAACAACGTCGCCAGTAGGGGCTCTCCGTCATGTGTGATTTTTAATCGTAGACTAAGCTGTGGATGATATCTTCATCCTTATATATATATAAGTGAGACATACCAGCTATCTCGTATCGTGACTGACCAGGGCGAATTTGCGCTGCAGATGTCATTTTCTGTATTCGACAAGAAAGCAGACCTGGATGTACTGAACCATCCACTGTTGAATGCAATTTGCTACACGGTAAGACGTAAATCGGTATATCTTTGGGAAGTTTATGCTTGATACAGTAATCAGTCGTTAGCTTACATGCAGGTGTCCACCGGACCGCTTTCTGGGAGAACCGTACGCTAACAACCTTCATGTTTGCTGGAACAGTTGACAGAAATCATCCCTTCCGCTCTCGTGTTATACATCCTGCGGAAGCTGCCCCCAAAGAAAACTACCACCGCATACCATCCTATTCGATGAAAGGCATAGCGATATCGACAGTCAATGGAGCCTCTTATTTCCGGGGCTGTACAGGGATTGTGTAAAATCAAACAGCAAGTGCATTGACATGAACCTCCCTCGACAGTGAGTGTCTTGGCCCACTGTGATCCATTTTGTGGCTTGACAGCAAAAGGAGCCCCTGGGCAAAAATAGAGGCTGTCAGTTGCCGAATCAAGGTGGAAAGGATTGGTCATATCTGCTGTGGCCATCTAAAGTGAAGGCGGGTGTGCATTGTGTGGTTGGAGGAACGGTGACCTTTTATTGGGGAAATTATTATAGTATATCTATGGTGCTTGCGTACTTGCTTGTAAATCTTCTTTTCTGTCTTGCTATTATTTCTAGAATCTCCAGTGTAAGGGTTATTACCCAGCATATGTGAAATCTGAAATCGTCGCAAGGTTGGGAATCATAATTATGATTTCTAACCTTTAGAAGGTTTTTTCTTGACATTAGTGCAAGAACAGAAGTTTGGTCCTTCCATAGTAGAGTTCACAGTTCCCCTAGAGGCGAGGATTAATCATCCATGGAAGAGAATAGACCTTTTTAGGTTTTAGGTGTGAAGCGATTGTATGCTTGATATCGAAAGCATTCAGCAATGTCGAAATAATCCTTGTCCAGCCATGTGTAACGAGATGTTTCAATAGTCCGTATGCTGAGTAGACCCAAACGAGGAGTAGAGTCCGATTGAGTTAGTCAACAGATTCGTAGTGTCGACACTTTCCACCACCTTAAAGAATTTACAGGAGCTTCACTGTAAGTCAGCTCTTCCTTGCGCCGTTTGGTTTGTAATTCTGCTAGTTTTAATGAAAATCTTCGAATATCGATATGCATCTCGATGTGACTGTAGAGACAAAGCGTCTTTTGTCGGCGGAACCGTCATTGTTGTTCATGTCGTATCTCAGAACTTTCGTCATTGACAGTGGACGCACCATACGCAAGCCCTCGAACACACGCCCTCGCGCAACTTGCAACACGACGATATATGTCGACCCCCCTTGAAATGGTCCACTAGATCCAGTGCTCGTCGATTAACCACCGACTATATGTGCACATGTGCATTTGTCTTTTTCAGGCGGGGCACTAAGCTCTATGGTCAACACGTAGTGGTCGGTTCACTCAGCGTACTTTTACCGTCTGGAGTGACCAGTAGAGTCCAAGAACTTTCATCACTGAAACCGTGTTCTGGTCATCATGTCGTCCGGTTCCCGTGAGCTGTGTAATTCATGTACGCGAGTAAAGTCTCGTATCAAAATTATTCTAGTCGAACAAATCTGCGCAAGTGAGCGAACTCGTTTGCAAACCAAGAGCACGAAAATTCAAAGGTGGCGTGTACTAGTGGGCACAAGAGCACTAGTGGGCGAGTGCCTTCCGAAACGAAATTTTTCGCTTCGGTGAATGTTCTGTACGGACATAGTGTACCTGTACGGGGAAATCGACCGATGGAATGGTCGTGAATGACCACAGTATGACTGATATCAAAAAACCGAGAAGTCTTCCTCGACCCCACCGACATGATCGAAGAAGGTCGAAGGTGTGTAGGTGAACACTGCAAATTGAGTTATATGACGTGGTCCGCGGGCACGAGTGAGAAAGACGGAGGTGACCAGTAGACTCGTGTGGAGAGTGTGGAGAGATCAACTCGCCGTAGACCGGGGGTGAAGCTGTGGTGAGAGGCCGGCTGGCCGAAGCAGGATTGAGAAAGTTAGGTGAAGTTTGAGAGCTAGGATTTGTGCAGTTGCAGAAGGTCGAGGCTGGAATGACAGCGGACTGCATGTTACAGAATGCACACATCTTCAAGTAGATGCTGCGCTCATTGTTGTCGTCAGGCACAGGTCCAGGTTGATACTGGATGCTCTCCTTAGGGGCTCTGTTAAGCTGTCTGACGTACTGAACCGGTACTGGGTCTGACTGCAGCCAGGCATTAAGTACGATGCGGTTTGATGATAGCTAGGAGAAGGGGGATGAGTTGGTAAGCGATCTTTCCGAGTATCTCGAAATCACTGCTGACTTAATTCCTCTCTCACTTTGTACGGTTCATACCCCTCCTCTCGCTTCCCTGCCTGAGTATCCGAATTCTCAGCGTCTTTGAAGCTTGAATTCTGTGTGTGTGTGTGTGTCTACGGTGGATTGCACCAGAATATGTCATCTTCTCCCTCGGTGTAGTTGCTCCGTTCCTTTGTGAGTAGTACCCGCACTATCCACCATTTCCAAGACCTTATCCTGTGGTGTGTCCTGGTCCAGGTGACCTTGCTTGGACTCTTGGGACAATGGCTGGCTAGCTGGCTGGCTGGATCATGGATGGATGGATGCATGCCTCAGTGATCACGTGTTCCGGGAGGCCTGTCCAGGATAACGAGTTCTGTATATGACTGCAGTAGAAGACTGGCAGAATTCGAGTACGAAACATAGAAGATTGATCAACTTCCATTTTGCCTGCAAACAGAATGTAATGCATTTATCCCAGTTATTCTTTTGCAGTTGGAAGTAGCCACTTCCAGCACAATCAAGTTACTTTAAAAAAAGTTGAATGCATGTCATGGGTTTGGCGAATATCATATGTGGACTATTGTTTGATCAGGGTTGAAGAACTTCAACACCGTCCTTGAGCGTAAGGGAAGCGCAAAGAAAGTCTCCCGTGCTTTGGGAGCATGCCTCGGGATTTATTTAATATTTCTATTTCCTTACTCTTTTTTTTTCCACATGGACATTTTCAGGAACCAAGCTCGAAGGAAATCTTTAGATTCACCTAATCCACTCTTGCGTAGCATCGCGTGTGGGATATGAAAGATTGACAGTCAGCAGACAGCGTGCAGTAGAAGTAGGTAATTTACTCAAATCCAGGAATCAGAATCTTGGAAGTGACTAGATTTTTTTCCGAAGATTGTAAGATTCCTGTAATGAATACATCGTGAAGTCCAAGAGGAAGCAGCTGGAGCCGCTGAATCCTCCGCCATTCTGCTGTGTGACGTGGCTTTTTAAACCTCACTCCTCCATGCCAGGACTTTGGGTAACAACATGAGGATTGTAGTAAAACTGCATGACGAAACCTCGAAACACACTCAATGCGTGCCCTGGAGGAAGTGAGGACGTACCTGGGCTGACTTTCAGATCATTTCATTCCCTGCTCATCATGCGCTGCAGGGTGCGAAAATGACGCTCTAGAATCTGAAACGAAGGGGGCATCTCGACCATCTTCTCGACCATCCATACGGCCGTTGTCTTGCAAGGTTATGTGCAATGAATCGCATTTTCTTTGAAATATATCTTTCCAAATAGTGCAGATTTTACATTTTTAACACTTGACATTTCTTTGAAGCGGAGTGAACATCTACATCCTCTCTGAATTTCTAATTCATATGAAAAAATATAGGACTATGAAGACTGAGTCCATTCTTGTCAAATTGCAGATAGCTTTGCTTTGTAGCCATCCCGAACATTTGATAAGATTTTCAAAGTCATTCCTTAGAAATGGTGTATCTAGCATTTTCTACTGTTTTTCAGACTTTTAGAAATTCAGTGACGGTCAGATGCTCATTAAACTGCCGTGTCGGGTCCCGAGACATTTATCAACTTTCTTAAGAATTCCTCCGATTATTCTGCCGATAGCAAAGGCAAACAATCATTTGTTTTTTGTTGCTTTGCCTCGGTGCAGTGACGATTGAATAGAAGAGGGAGCTGATTGAGAGCAAGTCAAAGAAATAATAACAACCACTGTTCTTACCACCACCGAAGATGGGCCTGCATTTCAACGACAGTGGTCATTTCCATCTCCAGACTTAATTGGAGAAGACGACAACTTTGGTGTTAGTTGAGTCGAGAGATGCGAGAGTGCGAAGGAGTCCCGTCAACTTGGATGCCGGCTTGACAGCGGTCCTAAATTAAGCTAAAGCCGGCAAAAGTTCAAAAGGGCAACAGTAGTCTGAACGAAAGATTCGTCATGAGGCCCGTGCGCTCCTGCAAGGAGTGCAGACCAGAGCAGTGCAGCATATGACGAGAGCGAGAGAGAGGACTCACCGAGCAGAAGGACGACGACGACGACGGGGTCAAAGCGCTTTCCACAGATCTGCACGATCTCGAACTCCACGGAACATTATCTTCATCATGCAAAGTTTCCCCGGCCTCGCTCTCGTCTTGCCCACTCTCTCCATTTTCACTCAATAAAATACACCTCCAGGACTCCCCCATGCCCACATGCTTTATCCTCCTCCTCGACGACAGTCGCCCTTGTCGTTTCTCCGGCTCCATGTTCTCCATTTTCTCCCATCCTGCAGAATCGTCTCCTCCTCGTCCCACGTACACTGCACACCCTGATCTCTAGGTGTCGGAATCAGAACTGTTTTCTCGCTTTCGGGAGAAATCTAATCTTCGTCTCTGCAGGATAACTTGCAGAGGGGTGACAGAATTGGGAGGCATGTACATTTGACCGGACGTGAAAAGACCGAAGGTCTTAGGCACTGACAGGAGATGGAAAAATTGAAGAATATCGAGCTCTATCAGTCTGGGGAACCTTGAGACGAGCTGCTTATGGGGAATTGTTTGTCTTATCATCCCTTTAGTTTGTAAAAGCTGCTCTCCCCCATTAGTTTCCAAAGTTACTTGACTCTGCTACACACCCCACCTGTCCCACATGCGAAAATCCATGTAGATAAGTTTTGGGACACTCGCCTTGGTGGACATTCGTATTAGGCATCTATGGCTACGACAAATATTTCCCGACAATTCCACTCCGTTTTATTTAAGCCAAAACATATAGTTGATTTTTCTAAAGGATTTTCAAAGAAAAAGATATCGAGATATATGTCCTCCCCTATCTAGCTAGATGCACGAGGAAATGAAGTAAGACAAGGAATGTATGCCAATGGATCTTCTTCCATAGATAGCCATTAGGTACTTAATGAGGGAAGCTAGGTAAGGAATGCTAGTGTGGCGGTTTTGGCTTTGGTAGTCATTTTCAACTTTTAGGAACTTTGATCTTGGTAGTCTTTGATAACATTATCAGACCGTGACATCAAAATTTTCACATTAACAAAATTCTTCTTTAAATTTGTGTGGAAGTTTATAGTTATCATTGATGGAAGTGATTAAATCCGAGGATTTTGGGCATTCGGTCATTTTTGAAATCAGATTATGATTACATATATACTCATCCTTGAGGATGTAATTCCAGTATCCTATCTTTAATATGTATTGTTATGAAATCTGAGGGACACTCTAGCATTGAATAAAGAACATGGGCTACTAGTTTTTTTTCCTTTGACCAAAAACTAAACTAAAAAGCTACATGTATCAACAATTTCAGGATGCTTCACATTCATATTTTGTGGAAGTGGTTGTTACTCTTTGACTACTAATTGGACCAAGGGTAGTACAAAGCATGTTTATAGTGTCAACGTGCTGTACATCCATTCTTAGGAGGTGTGGATATATATACACATCATTCGCGTTTTTGCTCACTGAAAGTTGCATGCTTGTGAACCTAGATTTAAAATTCATTAGTTCGTTCTGATTCACAATATATCTTTAAAACTATGAGATTGCATCTTGGCTCGGTACATCCATATAAATCTTCATCACATGTAAATGCAATATCAATATTGTGTGTATTGCATATAACTTAACGTCCAATTAATAACTACCAACGTTGCGAGTCAAGATGTGATGTTTGCTATATCGCGCAAGCGAGAGTTGTGTCTTACATATTTTGAGCTTATATATGTTATGTAATCAGCTATGATAGAATCATCTTAACTTTTTTATGATGTTCATGAGTTAATTGTTATCATACGTTACATGTTTGCCACAATACCTGATTATACATCTACATGATGGTGAAAAATATAAATAGACAAGCATTTTTTAAGTGTAAAATTGTGTTTCATAATTTTCTGCTATTATTTTGGAGTTTTATAGAATTATGAACTCAAATTGTAACATGATAAAGAGTGCATAAATGTGTAACACGCTAGTTGGAAGATGTTTCAGTTATTATGAAAATTTTTATTGATAAGTTTTAAAATTAGTCTATGAAATCAATAAATGACATTAGTTGCTAAAATAAATAAAAATGTTAAAGTGATAAATATTTGAATATTTTGATGTAGTTTATTAAAAATTATACATAAAACATGAAGAGCATTATTTTATATGGTTGACGATTCCTTGACCTGAATAGTAAAATCATCCTAGTTCCAACAGTCCAATTGTGATTCTATTGGGACTAGTTCCAGGTTAACGTGTTGTTCATTCATGACACGCTTGATGATATCTTCCCATAAGTTTTCCTACTACTCATGGATCATGATCTAGATGCTCCACAACCGTGGGCTCGCTTTTTCGATGTATGCTCGTCTGATGAGATCCTTGGATGAATCTCACGTGCAATACATGCAAGGGATGCACACCCAAAAGGCTTCGAAGGTAACAAACTTTACGTGCCTTTTATGCATGTCAAAGCATTGACGCGTGATCCTTTCATCAGTTGGTGCTCTCCAGCCTCTCGGTTAACTGGATCAAGGACCTTGTGAACTGAGAGCTTAAGTCCTGGTTCTTAACCCAAGTGACCGACCTCGGGTCATGCCATTCATGTCAAGGTTAGTCGAGTACGGATCGGCACGGCACACCACAGAGCCTCTCACTGTGGTGCTTATGTTCTTACGAACATTCTTCTACTGAAAGACTGCCCTCCGTTTAGTGACGCATGCCCGGTACCAGGAGCTTGTTGCCAGTCCACGCGTGTGATGGATGTGAAGTAAAGTTTGACACAACGGTGCAAGTCAGATATATTTTATATTGTTTGTGGCTAGAAATCGGGTCTTGTTACGGACACAATCTATTTTGCATGAGGCCTGTGTTTTTTACTACAATTAAGAAATGTTCACCTGGCTCATTCTCAACTACACATTTGGTGATATGTGTAGTTGAGAATTATAAAAATCAAAGAATCTCATAACTTACTATTCATTCTACTCAAAAGTCGGCCGTAACATATTAAAAAACTCAGATCTCTAGGCATGAACAAATGTGCGAATACCGATGTAAACATCTGCAATTTATCTTCTTATTTGATCATGTCCAAAATTCTTTATATATATATTTAAAGTCGTATTTTTTAGCTCTACTAACATAGTCGAACTATATTATTCCATCACTCTCTTTGAAAGCCAACATTCACCTAGGTTCATGGCAGTTTGTTGACTTTAATTTTCCACAACTTGTGCATCACTTTTGAAAGACATGGGGAAAGAGGTGCGAAGCAACCACATGGACTACGCTAGGCTTAAAAGTGAACAACAAGAGAAATATAGATGGTGATACTCATGATGTTTCCTACCCAAACCAATTTGCATATAGAATGAATAATTTTGATGGTAATAAGTCCAATGTTCCCAACGGCGAATAAATTTCGTATTTTCCACGAGGATTATTATACATGTGCTTGAATAAGTGGATTTCAACTGTAGAGATTTGATTAGAATTCAACTCTTTATTTCTTCAGACTTTGAAAAACTATTTAGCTAGGTGGCAAGGTTATCGCTCTCTATCTCGTTGTGGCATATGTTTTATGCGATATATTTTAACTTCTATACTTGTGACAATAGCTATTGCTGTCCCGGGCAGCCCTCCCCCCTTCTTTTTTAAGTAGGGAAGGACTTCGTCGGCCGAAGTTCGTTTTATTTATAAATCGCGAACTTATGCATCACTTTCTATGACTAGATTTTTGTTTCACTCGTTTATGTTGAAATATCTTTATACAGAAAGTTGCGCATCTACAATACTCACACTAGAGAATTTAGTCCAATGGTCATGTTGTTTCTTCATAACTTGGCTTAGAGAACTAAAATATTTGGCTGAAAAATTACATATGACGCACTGAAATGCTATCGGGACTAGTCCCATGCTACCATTTGATCTCATCCTGCTACTTGGTGGAACCCTTCTTGTTACATCACTTTGTCCCATCTCTCTCTCTCTCTCTCAATACTTCATAGCATTTCACTGATACTCTTCCTTGTGAACGCCAAACCCTAAACCCCTCCTCCTCCTCTTCTCGTAATGTGATCAGTTGGAAAGCATTTCTCGTCGAGAGGACACGTTTTGGGAGGTAGGGACAGCGTTGTGTACAGACCAAGATTGTAGAAGCTGATGATTGTCGATTTTCGAGCGAGAGAGAGGTTCGTCGGGGCACGATGAGCTGTGAATCTTTCGAATCGCATGTCGATGTCCGAGGGGAGGGAGGGAGGGTGAGGAGAAAGGACTGCCATACGCTACTCTCCAATTTGTACACCGTCTGGGTTCGTAAGCTTCGCTGATTATCAACATACATCATTGCATCTTGTACGCCTAGCGCCATCAAAATCCGGTCGGTGCGAACATAAACACCGACCACACGATTCTCCGCATCGTGACCCGGGCCGATGATCGGAAGGATAATGCCATGCCGTGTGCGTCAGACGCTTCTGATTCCCTCAAAGCTTCTTCATCTGGGCTTGTCCTCCACAGAGTTACATTATCGGTGTAAATATCTTTCAATTTCTTCCCTGAGGCTGAAGCTCTCGCTTTCATGATAATGACGGTGCTGTTTTGAAGACCATTAGTTTAATGTGATGTATGTAAAGCTTGCGAGCAGGATCTGGGATTAGTTGCTGTTTACGAGTCACGACCAAGAATCACAGCTCCCTCTCCAGGCAGGCCTTCAAGGGATAAGCAAAACGGGAAGGCAAAGGCTATCAAGAAAAACGATGAAGACGCGACCCAAGGGCAATAAAGACCTACCAAGAGGTCCAAAGGATTCGGTGAGTTAGAGCTCGTGAGATGTGATGATTGATTACTTTCAACGGTATCTATGATTTCTCTCGTTTGCAACTTTTTAGATATGGTACTCAAAAAGTATGTTGAGCTGGCATCATCGATCGTGAGTATCTTAATCTCCATATTTGAGGATACCGCACACTATATTGATATGTTGTCTATAAAGCAACTATAAAATTAAAAATGCACGGAGATGAGACTGGGAAAAGTACCGAAGAGAATACAGAGCCGGAAGAAACCCGAGAGCAAAGCTTCAAGCAAGAAAACTAAGAACTCGACTGTGGCGTTGGCAGTACACATTTTGGCCTCCTGGTCATCATATGTGACCCGTACGAGGAACCATTCGACTTTAAGACGACGGTCAAGTGACTTTGTGCGTGCATTGAAGTGCCAGTGCTTGAATGGCCATGATCCATTGTAGTGTCACACTGAATTTGAGACGGTAATGCTCATGGAAATTCTAGAGGTTCTTTGGGACATCGTAATATATTCATAGTTATGGAAGGAGCATCTTAAAGGTCTCCAGGGATAGCCAGTCGCAATTAAAAAAATTCCACAATCTGGAATGAAGTAAGTATGCTCCTGCCATATAGAAGAATCGAACTCACAGGATGTTCTCCATGCACTTTCAGCGTGGTTTCCAATATTGACTCCTTCTATTATTCCATAACAAAGTTTTATACCCAAACCGAGAATTTTCTACATTGTCGTTAAGTATGGCCCCGAATTTCCTAGTGGCACACAATCGATTCCAACATCTTTGGGTCACTTTTGCCATCTCAAAGCATATTTGCTTGCAACTACATTCGTCTTGCCCTTCATGCCGTTTTATTCAGTTCTACGTCTTGCCTCAGCCGTTTTTAAAGAGAGCGAGAGAAGCATGAATACCACCGATCCAATGATTCAGCCTTGCGTCTAGTCTTCGACAAAAGATGACAGGGAGCTCAAGCTGAGTTATTGCAGCGTGGTGCTTAGCTTTTCATGGCAATATAAGGGGACCCACAGATATTGGATCACTTTAGCCATTTCAAATTCGTTCATTACTTTCCATTCAATTTACATGCTTGCATTACGAGTTCCCGCTTTTTGACGTTCTTACCCGATCTCATTAAGTTACAGCATTCTCATCCTTCTAATGACTTATTCATCTCTGAATTTGGCGAAACATGGAGCTTTTAATATTTTTGCGGGCTCAGACGGATTTATTTCAGCGTCCAGCCTTCTCGAGGGCTCTATAGTCCCGGACCTACAGTCCAAGATGGTCCAAGATTCTTGCCCTGATCTCTTTTTGGATTTTTCCTTGCTTTCCTTATATTCCCATGGCCTTTTATGCATATTTTTCTGCTATGAGTTTCCCCATTGCCGGCCACTTAAGGAAGGTAATCTACTAAGTACCTTCCTTCCTTCGCTTCGTGCCAACGTGAACCTGTTAGCGCATCTCCACCAACTGCTGATACTTTTTAAAATATAATTTATGTCTGACGTGAACTTATCCTTTCGAAGAAGAAGAGATTAACACTCTAATTGGTTCCGGTATTCGACAAATCCTGTAAAGTATACTAATAAGTAAAATATTAGGAAATCTCATGATAATTAATTATACTAATATTTTCATGCTTGATAAACTGTCGCATTTTCTCTTAGATGGTACGTCTCCTGAAAACATTCAAAAGCATCTTTGTATTCCTTCCCCTGGTGAGGTTCTGGAAGAAAATCAAAAGCATCTTTGTTTTCCTTCCCCAGGTGAGGTTTTGGAAGAATGCTTCGGATGATTTTATAAGCTGGTGACGTCTCCGAGCTTAGAGCAGGGGCGGAGCTAGGATTTTTCTGGTGGTGGTGGGCGGGCACTCCGTTAGCTCCGCCCCTGGCTTAGAGTGCATATGTATACTTGTGAAAGTCAATTGGGATAGGCAGGAGCAGTGACTAAGACACGGGTGAATCACCTGACCTATTTTGCACTACCATGACTCCGAAGCATCTGGATAGTAGTCTAGCTAATTCAGAAATATGGACTTTGGAAACGATGGTAGCATCACTCCACGATATACCACTTGAATTTATATTAACCATTCAAATATAAATAAATACACCAATTAGATAATTACAACTCGTCCATTTCCATTTTCTTGATTGAGTTCAAAGATTGTGGATTTCATATCATGATTTTATCACATCAGTATCAGATTGAAAGTAACTTTTTTGGTCTTCGTTTTGGTCTTCCCAATGAGGTAATTAAAACCCTAATTCTGGTGAATATCATTATTAGAACATCTAACGACATTGCATCTTTCCGTAGTGTTGGAGCTAACTGCACTACGGGCTCTAATAGCACTAATCCCTCACATGCAAGCACCTACTAGGAGTGCTGTAACATAGATCATATCACATTATAAAATGTATCAAACCAAATTTTTTTATAAATTATTTCATAATAAAAAAAATGAAGGCATGTATTGTTACTATTGCTGTAAAATATGGCTTGTTTTCAAACCCGCTTAAAAACTAGAGGAGTTTGTCAAACACAGTTCAGTGAACAATGTTTTCGGATTCTGACATTAAGAAGGCGGATTGTCTTGCTCTTAGCTGATAAGCAAGCATGCTGAGTGACGGGAATATTGTCAGTGGCTAGCAATGACACACTTACCATAGGTGTTAGTATAATTCTTAGAAACACAATCCCCTCCCATAAAAATGAATAGTTTGTGGCAGGATAAATTCTAAGCTTATAAAAGTTAAACTCTACTTTTCTGAACACCAATGAAGTTATAAACTGTTTTTTACAAATTCTTGTGAAGAAAATGGTAGAAAATTTAGTATACCTTGTGTTATAGTTACCGCTTGTGTTATTCCACAAGCGGTAATTCAACCTAGTTGATCCCCGCAGGTATTCCATCGTACATTATATTCAGTATACCAATATTGTGTCCTAATATCATTACGAGAATGGTCTATACCGTCCTCCGACATAGACGCATTAAAAAGTTTTATGTTATGGAATTTAGATCTAGCGTATTAGCATGGGCCCAAATCCTCTTTTGGACGGGACTGAGTCTAGAGAAAGAGACACTGCGATATTAGGATTCGAGCAGGTCAGGTAACCACGAAGGGTCCACGGTCATAGAAGAAGTCAATACATTATCAAATCAGGAAGAAACCTTGAATCCAAAGAGTAGAAAGACATCATTCGTGACTTGGACCCCATGACCCGCGTTCGATTCTCGACCCTCCCGGTCCCGGAGTCTCGCCAGTGTTAACCGGAGGTTAACTCCTCCTCCGGGAGACTGCGGATGGATAAAGCAGGCGCGTGGCCGCGGGCGCTCTCTAACGCGCCTACTAAAACGTTCCTGCACCCGTTGAACGAATTCAAGAAAAGCATGGTCGGATGATCTCGGCTGATGGGGAGTCGTCGTCGTCGTCGACCATGAGGGAAAGCGAGAGACTGAGAGACGAGAGAATAAACCACGAAGGCAAAGGCCGAACGGAGCGGAGGACCGATCGTTGTGGCCGAGGGCAGCGGGCAAGTCGACAACGGGCACGCTGCCGGCCGGTGATTGGCCGCGCCGGTCTCGTCCAACATGCCCGACCTTTTGAAGACCGGCGCAGCTTCTCGTAGAATCTGTGGACTTCGGAGGGCGCCTCGAGTCGGCCCGGTCGCACACGTGTAGACCGACCGAGCCAGCGGTCCGGCTCTCCGTCCGTCCGTCCTCCGTCAGGGCCGAGCCGGATCGGGCGAAACAGCTGTCCGTGAGGAAGCTCTCGGCGCTGTCGATGGCCGTGACTCGGAGTGATGTCATCGGCCCTCGGGATGCCCTTCGATCGGCTTTTCTTTAATTCATTTTTAATTCCGATGCTGGAGGTCTGCTGTCGAACACAAATGCGAGCTTTGCAATGCAGCACAGGCAGATAACAGAATGCGCAAGCCTTGAACTCGTTCGTGGGATTTGATTAGCCTCGTCATCGCTGATTTACTTCTGATTTTGAGGTTTGACTCGGTTCTTTTGGAGGCGAGGGAGATGCTCCAGGTGGTGGGAATCCGTCCATTGATCGACGCAAGACATGCAATCACTAATGGCTAGCTTTTCGTGTTACACCGCCTTTTCACGGACCCCTCCCCCTTCGAGGGGAGGGCACTCATGAGCCCCGGGTACTGACAAGTGAGTGCCGATGGGACGGATGATGGAAGTGAATTGAAGAAGAATGTAAAACATGTGCATCCGTGAATGAGATAGAAGCTCTGGGTTTCGAACGTTTTCATGAGTTGTACCTTACAGGAGAATTTCACGATGCGATTATAACGTGGTCTCGCCTCGAGGGGACGAATAAAAAAAGGCCGATCAGATGCTCACCTCCGGCTGACTTTACGCTCCCGAGGATCTCGATGGAGATCAACATATACTATGATGCAGATCGTGTTTGAAATGAAAAGGGTACCGAGTGAAATGTGTACAAAAGGCATTATGACATTGCCCAAAGAAGTTGAGCATTTTGTCAATTTATGAATTCGCATTATTGGAAAGAGTGCCAGTGAGACGAGCATTCCCGTCCACGATCAGGAGCAGGACTCAGGAGAAGAAGGCCTTCAATCTTTTAGTACTCTGCGTGGGCGCGGATTGTTCTCAACTAGCCTCCAACTTCCAAGCCTCCAAAGTCATTTTGTAGTATACTTCAGTCCTATTTGTGGGCATATAAAGATTCAAGACCGGACCTCTATCTATGTATGGTGTATTGTATCGACGACATTGTAGTGCAGATCCATATACATCTTCTCATTCTATCATATCTCCCGTTGTACAAAGGATGTTATATCCGAACCAGCTACTGCCAGACTTTTCTGATCTACAAGTTAGCCTTCACTCTACAATACAAAGAGTCTAATCTTCAAAATTCGTTCCTTACGCGATTTGCTGATGCTAGCGATGACGAGGAGGGACTTCTGAATATACTTTCGTCGGATTTATTGTATCATAACTTGCTCAACTCTTGACATCTTTAAATAGACAAGTAATATTCCCGTTTAAAGTAACGACGTCTTGGTGAGATAGATAACTACTGTTTGTATAGAACTGTCGTCTCTGCAGAGGAAGGCGAATTTGGATATGGATCTGCCTGGCTTATTCTCGTTAGCAGAGGACGGAGAATGTGTGTTGCGAATTTATGCATTCATTTATGTATCTACACCATGGCGACAGGTGGCATGGCATCACCTGATATAGAAAGAAAGCGAGGGAATGAGACTCAGTGACCCTCACTGAGAGAGTCACTGAAGAAGAGGTAGAGAGCAAGAAAGAGCAGTCGTCTTGAAGTAGAGGGAACGAACTAATGTACCAAGCAAAAGCAGAAAGTCTGAAGTCAGAAAGAATGATGATTCAGTTAGTTTTGAAGCACCTGACGAACAGAACCTGACAGGACGAGATACGGTAAGACGAGGCCATTTGAGGAATGCGAGTCTGAACTCTGAAGACGGAGGGAGCACGTATGGGTGACTGAATATATACGATATAAATAAGACTGGACAAGTTGCAGACTGGTTGCAAATATACTTTGGGGTTTGTAAATCGCAGTCTCCAAACATGGGCTTGATTCTTGCAAGAGACGCGGATAAAAAAAGTGTGGGCGTACATTGTGCAGTTTCTTGTTGGAAAGACGAAGAGCACATCCGACCTTGTAACATGCTTGGTTTTCGTAAGGTTCCTCTCATAGAACTACTGGTTTAGAATCGAAGTGATGGATATGCCACCGTGTTTCCTCCATAGTCGAAGAAAGCCATAGTAAAGTTTTCGTAATCACTGATCATCAGCTCTTCAAGATACGAAAAATGGCGGAAGAAATATCTAGGCCACGGTCACTCTTACACTCTTTCAGTCCGAGGAACGATGAATGTCACATGGAACATGTTGGTGTTCCGACACCACAAATCGTATGTTGGCTAGGTTGTTACTTCCTTTGTCATCTACATATCATCTTTCTTTTGTGCTGCTGCCTGCACGAGACGGGGAGGGTAAAATATAGGTTACGTTTTCCCCCTGCGAGTCACCATTCGGCAAATTTCTCATAGGACCTTAGGATACACCATTCCCAAATGGTCAATCTTCCAGCGTTGTTTGACCTCCCTCTTTACATTTCTGATGCTGCTAGTGAATCCTGCTCTAGCAGTCTATGAATGTTTTGATTCCTCTAAAATGCACGTGTCACTGGACGACCTCTTGAGAATGTAGATTGCTATATACTGGGCTGACAAGTAACCTATTTTCATATCACTCGTCCTCTTGTGTGTGATAAAAAAATGAGCTGTTGTCTCGCGGCGAGGTAAAGCTTTAACCCAAAACTGGAGGGATCCTTTCTTCTTGCTCTTCACTTTCGAGCAAGCAATTCTTTCGTTCCAAGTAGATGGATTGACTTTAGGACTTGAGCCATCCCACCGCGATAATAGACGTTCACACATGGTCATGAAGTGTTTCTCTAGAGATAGCGTTTGGGGCGAAATGCTGAACTTGAGGGGACAGCGACATACTTGTAGGAGATGTATAGTGTGTACGCGGACCATCTGATGTAGAAGGCATATGAGGAAAATAGAAAACATACTGAAGTGGAGGTTGATCTGAAGGTACATGTCCAGTAAGGAAAGGCCATCAGCATCAAAGCAGTTAAAAACGGGGAGAATTAGGAAATTCGTGTTGATGTAAATTGGTCATGCTCGATTACTTGAGCTAACGGAGTTCATGGTTCACTTCCAGTGTTTATAGGGAAGTGAAATAATTTCGTACAGCTAGGAAGACTTACTACTAGCTGTAGGAGTTGGCAAAGGAAGGGGAGGGAGGATGGTCCGAAGGAGAACTAGAGAGCAGACCTTTGAATGAAGGACGAGTGTGTCAGTCTAGGTGGTGGGGGTGCTACAATATCTAACAAGTCCCAGAAGCAATCACGAAAAGAGAGGAGTGGAGTGTAGATGCATCATGGGGCCTCTGAAAAGCGAGAGAAGGGGAAAATGAAAAGGGAGAATGGAGGGAGGGGAGAGGCAGTGGAAAAGGGTGAGGGGTGAAAGAATAAGCCGCAGCCTAAAAGGAGCGAAGATCCCATCGTCCTTTGGAGACAGAATAGAGAGAGAGGCTATAAAAAAATTGGATGGAGAAGTCAATGGAGATGGGAAGTGCATCAGAAGTCAAAGGGCAGAAGGGCCGAATGCTCGGAGCAGGACAGAAGACAACAGTTCAGGTCCGGTCATGGAAGGAGTAGTGGGAGCCTCCAACATGTCATGAATGCTTACATTAACTAGTTGTTTGTGGGCAAACCGGAGGTGGTCAGATCTGGAACGGATTTGGCCGGGGGGAGCAGTGAGTCGAATGGCAGGTACAGGACACAATTCTCCTCCTGGCTCCTCCTGCCTCAAATTCCCAAGGCAGATCTGCAAAAGGGAAAGAGGAGTAGAGAGAAATTGACTCTGTCTCTCTCTCTCTGCAGTGAGTGATGGGAAGGAGGACTTTTCCATCACTGCACTAGAGCCGGACGAGCGATTGTGTGCCTGCGATTGAAGCAATAGCTGTTCCTTTCCTTCTTCTGCTTCCTCCTTGTCTACCTGGTGCCCCGTCCCTCTGCCAGCTACCAGCAGAGCAGCAACAGCAGATGCCCTGTCTGGCCCATCCTTAAAGATTACCAGCCGCCCTAAGCTTTGTTGTTTTGTCCAAGAGAACCGAAAAAGTAAAGACAGATGCGTTCGTAGTGCGGGAGATTTTATTCCTGCCACTCCACACGAGTAAGTGAAATGTTGGAATTGTTCGGTCCTTTCAAGTTTTGGGATTTCATTTGCTGCTCTACGGTCTGTTTTCCTTGCTTCATGTGAACAAACGAGGTGCTTGGACTTTTTGGTTCATGAGAAGAGCCAATTAGGATTCCTGCAATTCGTAGATAGTGAGTGTGGGGAGATACACTCCCTCAGCGGTAGTTGGCGCGACGATAGTATCCGTCGGGCTATCGATGGAGTTGGGCTGTCTATCTGCCGACCTCAGAGAGAAACCCAGATTGGTCTGATTGCTTGGTGGATCTGTGTCGGGGAGGATTTGGCTGTGGTGTCTACATTTTAGGTGGGGCAGATCATTGTTGACTTTATGTGAGAGGGAGAGGGAGCGAGGCCGACCTGGGCGGGTCGTTGATCTTACGGTTTGGTGCTTTCTCTGTGGGGATCTGAAGGGTAGAGTGTGATGAGGCAAGAGCGTTACTTCTAGTGCGGCATGCAAAGAATTATGGAGAGAGCCTGACGCCGATGCAATGGATGAAAATGAAATGCAGGCCTGTCTCGATGCGAAATTGCGCAAGAGCGAAAATTTGCGCGGGTTGCTCGCAAACCGATTGATTGATGGAGACGACCGGGGTGGATGTCTACGAGAAGGATGAGTAGTAAAAGGTCTCAGCAGCACCAAATTTCTAGCGAGATTCCCCTTTCATAGAACCAAAAGGAGGAGGAAGAGCAAGAGGAGAGGGGAGGAGCAGGAGAGGGAGAAAGTTACATCTCCTCTGCCTTCATAGAAGTGCAGTCCAGCGCACCTCACTGCGTCCATCGCCGCGATGGACAAGTGGGTGAAGAGAACAGTATTGATCGTGGTCAGTTTGAATATCTTGCAGCTCTTTGTGTATCCTCAATTCTGGAGTTGGACTTCTCTGTCTTGGCCCACAGGTTTCAGTGGCGACAAGGCCTCTGTAGATGTGGAGGAACCGCAACTCAAGAGCTGGCCCGCCATTCCCTCTCACAGGCCTTGGACTTTGAATAAGGATCTGCAAACTTTTTCGTGTGAGGCCTATTTCGGCAACGGTTACACAGACGTTGTTCCTCTTTTGAAAGCGCCGAAGAAGTCCAAGAGATTGAACAACACCGATGATCTATCTGGCTCATTCCAATGCAGATACAACCCCACTCTGCGCACTTCTATCTGTGAAGGCAAGCATGTGGTCATGAATTTGGACAAAATCGAAATGTCCAAGGGTGGGGAGTATTTGGAAAAGGTCATTGGACGTGGTGAGGATGCAGAGCTTCCACAATTTTCCACAGGCGCGTTTGAGGTTATGGTAACCCAAGGGTCGCAGATCCCACCAGCCACTCCTTTGTTCGACAACGGACAAGTAGACTCGCTGATGCCACAAGGCCAAGTCTCCAGACACACGCTGAGGGATTTGTTGAAAACAGTTCGGACGGTAGATGCATCCACTGTTACCTGCGCCAGAGTAAGATACATGTTCCCAATATCGAGTAGATTGTAAATTGGCAGTATTTTGTTGCATGGATCCGTTTTTTTGCCTGAATTGCCCTCTCAACTCTCGAACAGCTATTTGTGGATCCAGTTTCTTGCACGTACCCGTGAATACAATTCGACAGATTGTAAGCATCACCTTCTTCCCATGCCCTGATACCCCGGCTTAGGCTTTACGTCTATCCACGTTTAGTATTTATGGCTGATTACTTGAGCTCATTAGCCCTGATTTCCAACAGAAGATCAGCACCTGTCATGTCATGGAATCCTGCACGAGAGTGAAGACAGAATTAGCTTGTAAGGGATCCGTGGGCAAGGTCACTGTAACCTTCACTCCAGATTACCGATCCTTACAGTCTCAGTGATGCAGATTTGTTTTCAAATTCGGAGTCCATCATCCCGCCGACCAATCGTTAGATCCACTGGAATTGCACAGCTATGAAAGCCTCTGACGACATTCGGAACCTTTCTGTTGAATGTTGTCTAATTCCTGCTCAATTCCGTCGGTTGCTATTTTTGCTGCTTCATATGTGCTCATAAGTCATTTGCCGACAATCGTTTGGAAACAAGAATACTAATAGGACCCTCATAGTTAGTGCGAATGCTCCCAACCAGGTTGTGAAGCCACCTGAAGTCACTACAGGTGGGAGTTTCTTGTTCCATATGAGGTTTATATCATCCATTGTTAGTAGGCTGTTTTAAAGCTAGAGATGGATGATACATTTTTTGAAGCACTGCAATGGTCAGGACTGGAGAATCGACCATTGTTCTGATTGCATCATCTTCTATGTGTTGTTGCCTGTAACATTCGAGTCGCTTGTGTATGTACTAACGAATACTGTGTCTTCCAATGTATGCAGACCGTCGTCGAACCAACCTTGGTTGTCACTAGGTTTGAATACGCCAACCTGTTTCACACCTCAACAGATTGGTACAGTGCATACAGCACGGCCCGAGTTGTGGGCCTCAAGAGCCGACCCCATCTCATTTTTCTGGATGGTCATTGTAAAGTAAGCTCGAATTGTCTACTTGTTGACATAACTTCGTGTACCCTGAATTTGCTTGCTTAGGCACTTTTTGGTGCCGGTAATGTGAAGGGTCTTCTGCCTCGTGTGTACAAAACTCTTTTTTCTGTTTAGGATTGCATATGTTGGCACCAGATAATCAAACCTCATATTTTATTCCTGTAGCCCCAGTTTTTAGGATGTGGCAAGTAAAAGACATTAACAAGAAGTTGATGTCTCTCCAAACAATAGTTCAAAATAATGACTTGAGCACTGTGATTTCGTGAATGCAGTCACCCATGGACGATGGCTGGGAAGCTATGTATACCACAGTGACCTATGCAAAGCACTTCACCAGCCCTGTGTGTTTCGAACATTTGATCTTCGCTCCCCTGGGTTATGACGTGCCCCTGTTCAAAAACATTGCCTCAACCCTGAACTGCATGGGAAAACCTGCTGAGGAGTTGGCAAAGAAAGCTGACCCGAATAAGACTTCTAGAGTTCGAGAGTTTGGGGAATTTGTTGCAGCAAGTTTTGAACCCGAGGGCACGACGCCTTTGGATGCAGAGGACGCGGATTCTGCGAAAATCCCAGAGGTCAGGGTACTTATGGTGAGGCGTGAGGATTATTTGGCTCATCCTCGCCACAGTGGCAAGCCCCAGACTCGTCTCAGCAACGAGTTGGAAGTTCTTGAGGCTCTGAGGAGTTGGGCGAAGGAAAGGTCTAGCACCTACTTTGAGGACAACCAGTCACTGCTAAATGTGACAGTGATCAACGGAGTGCTTGCACACATGACTTTGGACCAACAAATGAAGGCCGTGAGGGGAGCGGATGTTCTCGTTGGAGCTCACGGTGCGGGACTGACGCATCTCGTTTTTGCCAAGCCCACAGCTGCAGTTTTGGAAATCTCGTCTCCAACTTACAGGAGGCCCCACTTTCAAACCATGTCATACTGGCAAGGAAGGGACTACCACATCATAAACATGGACGGCAGCTACGCAGATACCATCCAGGTTCGGAGGGTTATGGATCAGATACTGAAGGATATTTCTGCGAAGAAGTTATCTTCATAGTCGAGAAAAGAAAAATAACAGGTTAATCTGCTCTTCGCTTGCCTGGGTGTAAGCATATCTCTGATTCATTAACGTGGAATTATCGGACTGCTGGAAATCGATAATCCTGTGGTGTCCAGCCCAGCTGTACTTTCATCTCTCTGATGCCAGTGCAAGGGATTCCAAGGAGATCCTGTTGGAACTTCAATCTCATATAAGTTTTCTTAAAATTTTTGTTCAAATCTTTTGAGTTGGCCTAGTTGACAAGCAATTACGAACAGGAGCTTCAGGTTCTGTAGACAGGACCTGAATGTGAGTGCCGGAGTCGTATGAGTGGACTGATGAGACAGCTATATGAAAGGTGACGCATTACTGGTCTGTAGATCAGAGCCAGGTCTCATTAGATTCCTATCAATGAGCTGAGGTTTCACGCATACTAGATGGATTAGGAAGAATCCTCTTTGCATTGAGCATCACACCATATTCAAATTCTTTTGGTTCTGCCTCAATATATTGAGATCAGCACACAATTCGCAATTCATGTGATTATCAAGACCTGAGTATCTGTCTCCTCATCTGTGGATTTGTTTCTTATCATATTTTGAATCTCACTCTCCAACTATAATCATTTTTTATGCTCTCTTGCTTTTCTCCGTTCCGAGCTGCAGACTGACACACAAATTTACTAAGCTAGTTTCACAGATTTGTCGGTAAGTATGCAGATCTTTCCCTTCGATGGATGGGACAGGTGCAGGAGGATACCTGGAATCAGACTTCCGAATTCGCAATTGAGTTCAAGCCCGTCATCGGTATATGCTGCTCAAGAGGGATTGTAGTCTAGCCTACTCGGAGGGGAAGTCTGGTGCAAGAGATAAACACTCCATCTTAAGAGACCAGCCTTCTAATTGCATGTTAAAGGGCTGGAATAATCTGTGCACAGCTGGTGAGTATGCGTGTAATATGGAGCACGAGGGGTTCTGCTCTTGAACCACTTGTCTTTAAGTGTTGCTCCTGACTTCTTAGCATCACCGAAAGGCTACTTCATCTGTTGGACCTCATTCTGTGACTGACTCTACGGGAGGGTCCCCTGGTTTTTGAGTACTTCTGATACGTTACTGGATTCAGTATCCTCAGTCATGTAGCAATTGCATGCATTTGGCCTGCTGCTCGAACACAATGAAGTGTTAGGCAAGTGTTCGGGTGATCTAATGCTCGGAGGCTTGAAAAGATTGCACCATATTGAATGCTCCAGATCGATGTAATTCTCACTCCGAATTTCCTATTCCATGTCCAGTGCTTTTAGGTGAGGTATGTGTTCACGTTTGCTATGAACTTGTAGTAAACCGTGTAACCTCTCTTTATTTAACCCTGTTTTCAAATTTGCCATCAGTTTGTCACGTGTCGTGGTTATCAAGCAACTTAAAATTTAAATTCTTGTCAGCTGGGAGTGCATGATTGCCAAGGTAAAAACACACTGCCTCTACTGCGTTATCAAGGACAAAGCACCATTTACACGAATGAACCTGAGCAGAGGAGTACGCAGTAAATAGTTCCTTCAACAAATTACCACATGGCAGAAATTTGCAGCCTGAATGACCTCGCGGAATGGGGAGGATAATTAAGTACCATGATGTAACAAGCGAAGGTGATTTACTTAGCTTACATCTGTATTACTATGGTACGTATGTGAATTTACCTCTGCTGCGAAGGCTTCAAGAAGACAGATAGTTCGGCCATCTTCTTCTCCTTCACTAGTCCGTCGACATATGCTTGTACATCTTTTTTACCTCTGCGTGTTTAGATGTAGGGTGTTTAGTTAGACCCTGAAGCAGTAGTCGAGAGGCATTGGCAAAATGTGAAGGGGAACAGTAAATACTTGTACTTAGTGTTTATATCTAAATGGACGCGAAAGGTGAGTGGTCGTCAGACAGTTTGCACTTGGGATTATCTAGTATGTGCAGCGTGATTTACCACCGGTGTAGTTCTGCGCCAGTGGTAGGTAGAGTATTCTTTCACGTAGCTCTACATAAAAGAAATTAGGGAGAGTATACAATGCGTTCAAGTGTGCAGCCAAGAAGGGAGGATGGGACCAAGCCCCTACAACAATTGGAAAGTATTTATAAGTATCGAGTGTCCACGTCAACAACTTGCTGCTTGCTCGTGTTCAGAGTGTATATACTAGTAAAGAAATCGCTTCTTTACGATGGATCGATCATCTTGCGTGTGCATGTCTAGTTGAAGTCGCTGGGTATGATAACATCGTTGAGGATTTCGTTCGCATGTCATTACACTCGAGTAAGGTGAGGATGTCTGACACATTATGTCATGAGAAATCGAAAGAGGGAGATACGCCATAAAATCTCTAAATTATGAAAACCTGGATTTGGAACATCCACTTCATATAAATAGCTACAATGTCTTAAACTCTTATAATTGTACTGGTCTGGTTTAATAGGAGTGACCTGAAACATCCTTTCAAACATATATTGGCTAAGCACGGTGGTCAGAATGTTAAACTTGATGTACATTCTCTCGTGCAGGAAATAGGGTATTATGCGCCGGCATTTTCTCATAAGTAGAGAAAATGTTAAAAGATAAATCTCTCGATATAACTGTGTGCGCTCGCACAGGCTTTGCTCGTACTCACAGTCTTTGTATATATGCAAATGTGTTGAATCAAAGGAAAAATCATTCTGTTTTCCTAACGAATACCAGGGCATGGATGTCAAACACAATTGGAATTTCGAAAGTCATCACACCTTCTTTCAACATATTCTACAACTTTGCGGTTAAACATGTACACAATTAGAAATTTATTTATGATACATAAAGATGATGCTTCACATCTTCCATGCTCGGATTTAAAAGACCGGCACTTTACCCCCTAATGTCCACCACAAAATATCATTTTCGAACTCACTGGGAACATATCAGTTGTGACATAACAGACCATGACTGGCCCCCTAAAGTCCACCACAAAATATCATTTCCGAACTCACTGGGAACATATCAATTGTGACATAACAGACCAAGACTGGCCGGTGCTCCAAACTGCGCGCACATGTTCAACGGCAATAAGACGAAACAATCTTCAATAAGTGCAAATTTGTGAAGCTAAAATTGTGAGTGGTATGTGTATAGCTAACAACAGACGGAAAAGAATCGAAAGGAGTACGGGTTAAAGAAGCTTCCAGGTCAACAGAAGGTTTGAACACTAGAAAGAGATCGCCTTGCAATGACATGGAGATTAGAAGAGAAAGCATCGACACGCAGAAGAACGCTCTAACCATTCCCTCACCTGTGGAGGCTTCTTCAAGCCAAGGACCATTCATGATGTTTAGGACAGTGCACGCGTCGGTATAGTCCAAGTCTGGAAGCAGTTTTGGCGTCAAGAGCAGGCACCTGTCGAACAAAACCCGTCCAGGATATGTTTTAGCATCATCACAAGCTTCAATGTACGACTTCAAGGGGTACCTGTATGTCACAATCCTTCCAACTTGATTGAAAACCACGTAGTCTGCATAGACAAAAAATGAGGGAAGATCATACTGAGGAGTATTGGGTTGGCTCGCTGCCCGGACTAGCTGCTGGAACATCTTCCTCTCATTGTTGGGATCCATACCTAAACAAAGGTGGACAGAAAAAGTCATTTCGTGGAGCAACGTGTATTTTTGCAAGCTACAGCAATGACAAGTCAATGAAGGCAATAGCATAATCTTATGGGTTACCAAATTTAGCTATAAACGTTATAGGATTTACCCTGATTAATCTCGTCCACAACCCTGAACGGACAATAGGTCAGGTCTTGAAGTGAGACCAGATACAAAATTGTTGAGACAGAGCGTTCCTGCAGTACTCAGGGCCAGACGAATGAGCTTCTGGAACACTAACCCAGAAAGTAGATCACATTACAATACGTGATCAACATATCTCAAGTCGGTTAGAAGTTGCTGTCAAACACAGGCCAAATATTACTTCTCACTACACCCCTCGAAAGCCTTTCTTTGAAGACCATGCTCAAGGATAATTTTTGACTGCAGTCATGTTCAACTACAATGCATGAGATTTGGACAAAGGCGACAGCCCACACTCATGCTAGTCAAACCAAGGAACAAGCTAGGGACCTCTAGAAGCAAAGATGACAAGGAGTGACCCGGTTTCCGAGATTACCCCTCCCGATTGATGGTGAGCGCTGAGGACTTGTAGCTCCGCTGTTTCCCTATAAAAAAGGGAAACAGATGGACATTTCGATTATCCATGACATGAAGGACCGACTCAAGCCGGACGCCGCTCCATCTGTCATTCAGGCAAGACGGGTAGAAACTACAAACTCACACAAGCATGTAGGCCTCACCTGAACTTGACCTTGATCAAAACTCCATATTTGTCGAAGTCCGTGCCGTGCTCATCTACAAGATGTTACGAGAGGAACTGAATAAGAGTAAAGAGAAAAGTATGTGATGATCCACGCTTGCCCTTGTAAGTATTAACAGGATTGCGACCGCGAGGTAATTTGAATGAAGGCACGTACCAAGAGATACTTCTCCTGCCACCGCCATCTCCATGAAATTCCGACTAAAAGTTTCGTTTATTCTGCTGACTAGGTCTCTAAGCCTAGGCAACCAAAGGTCCTGCATCACAACGTGGGACAATAAGTACCCCCTAGCAGGCAATGCCAAAACATATATACATTGGACGCTTACGGAGATGTCGAGGTGGTGACTCACCTTTGTTGTCTCGATCTCTTTCATGCAACGTTCTAGATTGGTCCTTTGGTTGTCTACTTTCTCGGTCAGGCCTTGAATCTGAACATTTGACATATTCGTAGGCAGGAAGGACATGTCACGCAAGATATAACATTGTGAAATTCTACTTGATAGAAGAATCTCAGGAGCACCCTTCAGAAATCATTTCGCTCGACTTTGATAGATGAAGCCGGAGCCTTGAAAAGTTGGAAAATGAAATTCCAGCAAACATCACACGAAAAACAAGGAGCTTCAATTGATTCTTACTTGCTTACAACGCCGCTCATACTCCTCGAGAACATTCGGATTGTTACAAATGACAGCGTTGGCTGCATCAACAGCTTCACTAATAGCTTCTTCCAGCTCTTCCACGGAGTCTGGCATCTGAGGGCACAAATGATGGACTTGAGGGAGGGAAAAACAGAATTGCCATACATTAAGAGCACGACCAAAAGACACTGAATAAGTAAACTAGATACTGACTATAACTTGATTGCCCTACCTTGCGGAACTCTGCCTGAAGAGAGGAAGTTAGGCTCGCGACTTTCTCGGCATCTCCTTTTGCAGTCTGCAAAGCCTGCCTTGCAGACTCTGTAGTGGATTTCACTATCTCAAGCGCAAAATAAATAAGTCAGCATATTGTTCACCTTCAAGAAAAGCAGGTCCATATAACTCAAAGAGTGAATGCCTTTGAACGAAGGTAGAAGAGCTATTACTTTCAGAACGATATAGGAAACGCTGAAACCTTACAGAGATCATAGTGTCTTTGCAATTCGTCTAAAGCGTCTTCCTGGGTTTTCAAATCTTTCTCCAATTCCTTCAGCTAGTAAACCAAATACCAAGACAGTAAGTTAATCACTGCAATGAACCCAGCTTATAACTTTCATTAATTTACTTTACGGCCCTTTAGTTACAAAAATGGAAAATCTCATGGAACAGCAGAGCGCAAAGAGGCTTAATACACCCATTTCCAAGCGAGACCTTAACATAGAGAGTATCAAAGCATGGACTAATTAGGAGGAAGACTCATTCTCCCTCTTGGGCATTGGTATAATTATCTGACTGTATTCGATCAGAACCCTACAGCCAAGCTTAAATAGTACGTGTAAGTAGAAACCACTGGCAGAAGGTAACTAGCAAGGTGCCTCTCATACGACCCTGCTACTTACCTTCGCATCCAGTTCTATGACATTCAGGTGATGGGCAGCATATTGTATTTGTTTCTCTACTGCAGCTACCATCACCTCCTGCAAGATAATATTCAAAACAGCACGAGTGATCAGAGAGCAGTTAACCTTTTATCAAGCTTAGCAAGGTTTAGACTCCTTCCACGACTCACGCTCAACTCATCACTTTCACAAGGCTGAATGTATCAAAGCCAAAACTTTCAAACAATTGCTCGAGAATAATTGTGAGAGTAGACCATGACAACAAGTGGCAAACGGCTGCAGTACCTTCAACTTGAGCACATTTTGACAACGCTGGGCGTTGATTTCTCTGACTGATTCTCTAAGCTTAGCTTCCGCAATCGCCGAGGACTCCTCATTCTCAAACATGCGCAACTTTTTTTTGCGTTGTTCTGAAGACAAATAACATATTAGGTTCCAATGATGGGTCGTCCTGCTCTTAAAGTGTGAAAGCACCGTTTAACAGGGCCGTCTCAATATCGAAGGTGTCCTGCCTCTAAACAAGGTTGACTTGTGGACGTCTGCCACCAAAACGCTACGGAAATCTGACTACAGAAATTTTCAAAGAGCCAAATATGTACTGACCGACAAGGTTTACTACGTCCTGTCGTTTCTTTTTCTCCATCTTCACTTGGTTGTAAAGTTCTTCCTGCAGATAATATGTTCAACCTCGTGATCAGCAAGTATATAGACTACAATTTATATGCCAGAAGTTCCAGCAACATCGGAAGGTAAACGGAAGAGGAGAAAAGAAACGAGATGTCCTGGACATGATAACGAGATTTTGCAATCCCCGAATCTCCTTACCCGTTCTCTGTGAAGCTTCGCTTGATCAACTTCCAGATCTCTTAATTTTGCTCCGTAGAACTTTATCTCTTCTTCTGATTGCTTAATGGCCTCCTCAAGTTCTGCTTTCCTTTGCTCGAGATTATTCTTTTCTCGGACGTCTATATCTGTAAGTGAAAATATATTGTATTCGACAGTGGGTCAATGAAAGATCTAGAAAGCGAAAAGAACTTTACAAAAAAATCAACTCAATTTGGTTCTCCATATATTCTGACCCTTCGTGAAAACTCTGAAGGACAGTAATTCTGAATGATGTTGCTTACTTTCGGAGAAAAGTCTAACAGGTCGAACTGCCCCTACGCTGGCAGATACGTGGCCCCCATATCTTGACCTTTGCCATCGGTAGTGGTTTTCTGGAGTCCAGAGATCTCCGACGCCTAGTTTTGGAGCTTCGTCAGCTCTGAGGTTCGCCTCTGAGTTTCCTATGAACTATCAAAACGTTATCAAAGAGTCAAGAACATAAATACAGCAGGTAAGGCACTATAACTGCACACACATGTAACAACCTAAATAGACACGCATACCAACATGAGACTTCACTCACAGAGTGATCAAGAACTGCTTGGCCGTTAAGAACTTGCTTCACCACTTCAGGGGCGAAGATAGCTTCATCCAGTCTCATCACGATACCAAGTTGCCGCATCTGCAGCGGCAACAAACACCCAGGTATAGTCTATTAGATAAAATAATGCGAAGAGTATGCCTAGTATTTCAAGGCACTACAGATGCTTGGAGCTAGTAACAAAGCAGGAAAGTAACTTGCGAATAGCGAGCAATAAAGAGAACACAGGTAGTGCTTACCTTAGTGGTTACTACATGTTTCTCCGAGAGAACATAGCTTGAGCACGCGGATTTTTTCCTAATGACTATTGAAGTGGATCGCAAAAGTAAGACATGAAAAGATTCTCACCTCATTAGTCAGAGGAAGAGCAGATGGTCTCTGTATATCTCTCTGATTGATAACGGGACATCCATGTTGTTTTAAGTTTCTCACACAGAAGTCTCGGTCTTCCTCGTTCAGAGTGATGAACGACTAATAAGGACAGTCCCCCAAAACACAAAAATTAGTGACTTCGCAATCAGGATGGCACATTACTTGCTAGAAATGTAGGGAGAATAACTGCGTGAAAGAGAACTCACCTTCCAGATATGACCTGGGACATGATTTTCAATATAGGCTGCATTCGCTTTGTCCGGGATTTGAACCTTCAAGTTTCCGACAGTAGACAAAAAATAAATGTTTGGCAATTACAAGAGTCAAGGATGTGTTCTCGAACGTCTCACCATCTCAACATTCTCAATGAACATACATACTGCTAGATTGAAAGTTGGGTACCTCGAGTAAGACAGGTCCATAAACATCACTTTTAAACATGTTTTGTTCCCTTTGAGTTTGGACCCATTGGTAGGCTTCGAATATCCCGTGTGCTCCTGCTTTTTGGAGTTGCTGAAGCAAGCGAGTATTCACGCTACTAATGTCTTTAAGCCTTATTAAGATAAAAATACACACAAAAATCGACACATGTCAATACAGGGCTTTAATTAAAACCATGTCTCTGTGTCAGCTGGCAATCTGGTAGAGAGTTGGCAAGATAAAAGCTCACATTACTACGTCCGTAGGCAGAAATTGTCAGGTAGGGACATGACCTGCGAATACACTGCTCATGAGAGTTTCTTAGTTGCCCCAGCTGAGAATCCTTCTCTAGCCTGGAGTTTTTCATTTCCAACGACTCCATCTGTAAGCTCCGGATTTTGTTGGCAATTTCTTGCTGCAGGGTAGGAGAGCAAAGATCCTCTTCACACGTCATTTGTCGATATGGGTTTCTCAATACACCGAGTCAGCCTTGTCTGTAACAAAAATCAGATCAAACCACGAGCACAAGTACCCTACAAGTAAATCGAGAAGGCCACTAACGGAGTACGTACAATCTGCGATGTTGGAGCTTCATATTCAGGCAAACGAGCAAGTTCAGCTTCTGCAAGAGCAACTTCTCGTTGTGCTCTCTCGATCTTTTCCTGTCGTTGTGATTCCCTTTTATGCACTTCTTCAATTTCAAGAAGATAAGACCGTGCTTGCGACGCCTGAACTCAGTTCAAGAGACTCAAAGTGAGTTCCCTGGGTGGATTAAAGTGAACTGAAGCAGCAGTGAGACAAAGTGCAGCATATTACTGAGGAGGACCACGATACCAAGTAAGGTCACAGCTAAGTTAATTATGAACGATCACGAAAAGGACAAACTACAGCAACAGTTTATACCATTTCGGATTCAAGATCAGCTAGTTGGCGCATCTTAGTCTCGCTTGCAGATTTGAAAGCCAGGAGTTTCTTGCTCGCTTCCTCTGCGGTCTGCTTCTTTCTTTTCAAAACCCTGGAAATGTCCACAAGTAGAGCATCTTATGAACCGAGCGGCAACTGGATTCCACATAGAAGCAGAATACGACGACTTGAAGACTCTCATATCTGCACTTAAGCTAAGCAGACATACTGATATGGTGCCTGCAGCTCTTGTTGGCGATTCTGTGCATCCCGCAAAGTGTTCTTCGAGAGGTTCTCGGCTTCTTTAGCAGCCTGGTAAGCAGCTTTCTTCTCGTCATACTTAAGCCATGGAAGCTTCTTCCTCAACGATGCAGCCTGTTACATGTCACATCAGCATCGTCACAAGTCACTTATCGAGCTGCACGGAGGTCTGGCCCAGATATTGAGTCCTGACTCAAAGCAGCTTTGCGGGAAGTTGGAAAAAGCAGGAAAAAATATTTAAACTGGAGTTTGACCTTTTCCAAAAGCTCGTTCCTCTGACGCATGCGCTGGCCATCTTCTTCAAGTTCGCGATTACTGGCTTTGTTCTGAGCTAACGAGCTTTCCAACTGAGAGACGGTCTGTAAATACAAGCAATTTTAGAATATACAGAGTCCGGGCGGAGAGATGAAGGAAAGAGTTCCCACTCCAGCCACGAATACATCACTTACTGTTTGCAGCATCTTCAGATCTTCACTCAGAACTTTGAGTCTTTGATGTTGAGCTGACAGCTCTGGATCTCCGACAGCCTTCTCAGTTTCTCCCAGAAGCTCAATAGGGGTGAGCTTTGCAAATTCGCATACTCTGTCCTGAGGGAGAAACTGCAAGTTGGAACGATAGATCTTAGGTGAGGTAATTGGGAGGTTGACGGAAGATTTCTCCACAATTTACGAAACCTCAACCCACAGATATGTGTCCTCAACTTCCCAGTTGGTGAAGATTTGGTCATGGTCGATAAGAACGAATTTAAAGCATTATACGATATGACAGGAAAAGGAATTTTTGAAACAGGACTTTTTGACACAAGGGATGTTCTTACTTGGGTTAGGTTATTTAACTGGATGTTGAATCCTTGCACGACGTCCTGGACGTCCTTTTTAGATACGGACCGGTCTGAGACAAATGAATTGTGTCAGAGTGCAAGTTGATCAATTGTAGATTGAGAACTGGCAAATATGACGAGAAACAGCGACCAGTCAAGGCACTACTGGTTCACAGTCATAGCTCAACGATGTTGCAGAAGATGGAGGAGAAAAGAATTTCTTCAATTCAGAACCGACGTGCATATGCAGCAATTAAAGACAAAAAGCAGCTGCGGGAGCTGGGCCACACACTTCAGAGTTCTCAAAAATACAGGCCATGTTTGCAATGTGCACAGGTGACAGCCATACTATGTCATCCCGGTAAAGGTATCATGAGTTGAATTCTTACCATTGAGCAGCCAATCACTTTTGTTCCTACTGTTAATTTTTCTCGTGATCACGACAACTTCGTCATCAGAGTTGCCGCGGAGAGAAATCTTTGTCCATCCAGATTCTTCACCCCGCTTTACGAAGTCACCAATCTGGCCAGCGCGGCCTAAAAGCTGGATATCCAGAACCAATGGACAAAAGAATCAATGGACAGCAGATAGAACCATGAGTTTGGAAGAGACTTGGAAGTATTCGACAGGTGACCGTCAAGCAACATACTTTGCAATCAGGGAAACTCTTTGCGCTCAATTTTGGAAGTGACATACCTGAGGTTCTCCGGCCAGGCCAATGCAAATTGCACAGACCAAGGAACTTTTTCCCGTGCCATTCGGACCGATGACCAGATTCAGGCGTGGTCCAGGTTTTGATTTTATGTGCCCATAGGTCATAAAATTGTGAAGCTCGATTTCGATAATGTTGCCTGGTGCGTAGTCATCTTGACCGCTGTGCCAGAAAAGTCAGACCACGAAATGAGCTACATTATACAAACCCATCACTCGATCAGAGGAGCCCAATGTGTGATCAAATGTGCGCTCCACTCTACGACCAAAAGCGATTCAAGCCAGTTTGCAGCGATTTCAACTTCATCTAGCATCACGCAAGCTGAAGTTGCCCAACATATGCCAGACGTTCAAAAGGCCTTGTGCAAAAGAAACCAATTCCAAACCCAGCACATCAACCAGCTCAATCCACGAATTCTACAAATCTTCGCACAAACTATGATTGCGATGTGAGCCAATGTGCGCCACACTCTACGACCCAAAGCAATTCGAGACGGTTTACGGGGATATTCAACTTGTAATAACATCAAGCAAGCTGAAGTTGCCCAAAATTTGGCAAAAACGTTCCAAATTCCTTGTGAAAATTGAACCAATTCCAGAGACGGCAATTCAGCCAGTTCAATAGAAGATTTTTGCAAACCTCCGCACGAACTGCAATTGCGATCAAATGTGCGCTCCACAATACGACCAAAAGCAATTGGAGAAAATTTGCAGCGATTTCAACGTCATCTAACATCATGCAAGCTGAGTTTGCCCAAAAGTTGGTCAGCATTCCAAATGCCTTCAACGGAAAGAAACTAATTCCAGAGCCAACGCATGAGCCAATTCAATCACGAATTTTACAAAGCTTCGCACGAACTACAATTACGATGTTTCGAAAGGAACAGTAGACAGTCGAAACGCCCCTTTCAGTATCCGTCTCGAAAGCAACAGAGAAGGAGAGGCGAGAGAATCGTTCCTTACCGGGAAGCAGTTTTCGCCCGTTTGGCAGGCCGGGAAGTCGACGGGACCGTCATGGAGGCGACACCTCCCTCCTTCACAGCAGATAATTCAAACCGTTCTTCACAACCTTCAAGAATCGAAGCAATGCGCTTACATTTCCCCCGATTCCGGGCTCAAGCTACCACACCACGCCGGCTGAAATCGAGCTGGTGGCCAAATCTCGCAACTCCCTCCATAGAAGCCGGTGATTGACGAGCGACACGCCAGACGGAAACTGGACTCTCGCCAACATGACTGACGACCGAACTTTTTGCCGAAGCTCGCGCACGGCAAAAAGACGAGCAAACCAGCAATCGAGAGCTGCGTCGCGAACGCAGTGCTGGTGACAGAAATCTCGATTCGTGCCACAAACTGGGAGTTCGAATTTCTCGAAAGAGCCAATTTCGGTCGGCCTGCGCGCGAGGGGCCGAGGCACGAGGACGAATGCTTCGGGGCCTCGGAAATTGGCCACCGGGCAGGGACGCGCAGCGCGGGGGAGCGGCGCGGGGGCCAGTTCAGTTTTGGAGGGAATTCGAACTCGCGGTGTTCCGCGGATCGGCACCGGCTGTTCCCCGTGATGCGACTTGCGCACCGGATGGTCGTTCCTCGTCCGGGCCGTGACAATGAATCATTGATGGCCGATGCATTTTGCTGTTGGCCGGATGCTATTTTTGCCTTGTTTCGCCCCTAGATCTCCTCCTCTTTTTCATACCCTCTCTATGTCATGTGTTCTGTAGACATGGTGATTAATATAATTGTAACGTGAGAGGGTCGGGTGAACTTGTAGGATTCAGGATCCAACTTACAAGAAGTTGTGTATGATAATGGGTACCAAGTAATATTAGATGGGAAGAACCGATCAATTTTCATTGGGATAATACCATACATGCCCCAATAGCATCGCGCAGGAAAATTTATTATATGAAAACTAAGATAGCCCAGTAGCTAAATGGAATGATCTACAATCATCACGAGCATACAATAAATCATCGCCTGCATTGATTGCTAATTGTTGGACAGAACTAGTTGGTGGTCACGATCAAAACACATTCTCTAAAATATGTGCGTTTCCAGTTATAAAATAAAATTTATGGTGAATTTTTTCATCATTTAGTATCATATGCTGTTGGTGCAATCTAGAAAAAAAAGTAAATGTTTATATGATCCAAAATTAGAATAAGAAAGAGGTGAAATAATTGAATAGTCCCATAGTTGAATACTTTGGTTGCGCTTTATTCATCGCCATTTCTTGGATGTTCAACCATCCCGGACATGTATGACAACTTGTTCCTCACAAGTGATTGAGATCTTTCTTAATCGTAATGTTGAGCATTTTAAGCATCTTCCATACAATGGTGGACACCTTACATGGAATGTAACCAGTACACACCTTAGCAAACGTAACATCACGATGATATCTTGAATTTTTTTGGGGATAAATTTTTCTATTTAATTAGCCAACGAGTTGATTGATAATTTATATAACATGTTTGAATGGACCGAGGCGATGTGCAAATGTCTCTGAAATTTTTTTGAAAAAAATGGTGTGAAGTCAAAAATTTTAAATGCATAATTGAACCAAATTCAATACCAAGCAATTTTGCGGGGACACCGGTGTGAACAAGAAATGGTCATATATAGTATGAGCGAATATAGGGTATGTTTAAAGCATGTGCACATCAATGTAAATTAAAGAACTCTAGTTCCATCAATGGAAGAAATGTACTTCAAGTAGTTACCTCCCAACGTGAAGAAGATCTCGTATCTCGGAAGAGTACTTGCATAGAAATGATCTTCAAATACAGGAGAGAGGGGACTGCCTTGATAATGAAGATTACTCCTCATTCGAGACCAAATAGCTTCATGGTGAAGCTCATTGATGTGTGCGCTTGACATGGCAAGACAGTCCATGGATCTGAATCTCAAGTGTCTGGCGTGGCCGCAAGGCCTTCCCTAAAGGCTTCACAACAGCTCAGTTTTTCTAAAGCTTCCGATATACATCTGCGAAGTATGATACAGGACACACCCATCGTACATTCGTACAGTATATCTTCTCTAGCGTATACAGTAGACAGTAGACACAGGAGGGCATAGAGCGTCACGTTCGGTCAGGCACGCACACATGCCACGCCATGGACTGGAGTCCAGGTCACTGTAGTTGTGTCCAATCAGCCTTGCCCATACGGGGCTTCTTCCTCCGATCTCACCTTGTTCGTCTGCGTGAGACCGCCACGTGGCCCGAACGAAAACTCGCAAACTCTGCTTCGGAGGAACGGTGGCTTCATGAGACCGCGTTCCCTCGTTCCCTCCGTGATACGGTATAGACGCAAATTCCCCCGTACTCACACGCGCAACACAAGCCACGTAGACTCAAGATTCTTCCGCCTTGAAGAAGTCATTCTCGACTTCTTCTCGTAGTTGACTTCAGTAGAAGGTGAACCGCGTAACCAGCCGAAAGGACCTCACTTTGCTTCAATCTAACTCATCCTTCAGTTCGGCCTTTCTAACTCACGCCAAGTTAAACTGATTCAATTAACTTATCAAGTGATATATTCACTTTACATGGATATTAAAATTAATAAGTAAGAAAAAAATACAAAAAGTTACCCATTGAGATTACTCAAGAATTTCGACATTTGATTTAGCAAGTCCTTGAGAACAAATGTCGCGTAGTGACGAATCAAATCAAAAGTAAGTCAGCGGAAAAATCTTTTATATTGCTTAAAGTATTCTTTGGGGGAGATTCTAACAGGAAAAAAGTAAAGAATCCAAAAGTTTGAAGTGATGTAACAAACATAAAAAACTCTTTGGGGGAAATCCTCAAAGGAAAGTAGTGAAGAAATTCAAAGGTTTGAAGTGTTGGAATTGCAAGGCCTTACGTTGAAGGAAGGGGCGGATGATTAAATTAACGGCGATGGAATAAGTGTACGTGGTTGTGGGATACGCGGACGAGATGGTCACATGGTAAGGCTGCACGGGGTAGATTGCGCAGCACGTTCGTGGTCCAAGGGACGGGGAGGGGAGCATGCCATGCCATGCCATGGCATGACATCCCGGAGAGTGGAGGGAGGAGGGAGGGAGGGAGAGGGGGCGGGCATGACATGGGTGGCTGCCCTGGCCCTGCTCGCGTCTTCTCTCCCTCGCTCTCTCTGCGCTCTCTGTCTGCGTCTGTGGCTCGGTCGCTCGCTCTGCTGGTGCTTGAGGCCTTGGCTGCGCTGCCTGTGGACCATTCTCGTCATTCTGCATTCCATCGGCCGGGACTCCAACTCGGACGCCAACGTGACTCGGCGGCGAAGGCCAGAGAAGGGGAAGGGGAAGGGGGAGGAGCAAAGGGAGGGGAGGGAGGGTGCGTGGGTGGCCTCGATTTGCCGTCTGCTGTGCTGTGCTGTGCTGGCGTGCTGGCTGCGGAGCAATTAGCGAGGGCGGAAGAAGAAGGCCAGCGAGGGACGAAGTCGATTTGATCGCTCGGAAGTATGCAAGAAGACTGACCGACCGACCGAAGGAGCGAGCGAGCGACGGACCGGCCAGCCCGCAACGAGCGAGTTGCATGCATCGCGGACATCTGCCGATACCAACCATTGACGACAGTCGAATCAGTTGAGTATTGCTGTTTTTCGTTTGGTGAGCGATTGAGCGAGTGAATGAGTGAGATCTGTTGTTGCTCCTGTTCGCGGTGAAGCTCTCGACGCGTGAGTTGCTGCTCTTCTTCTCGTATGCGGACGCGGAGAGTTTGCCAAGTGAGGCTCGAGGTCGATCTGTGAAGAAACGATTGGAACGGCCTGCGAGCTTTCCCGCCCTCCATCTCCCTCTCTCTCTCCCTCTCTCTTTCTCTCACTTCTCCCTCCTCGTCGCGAGGGCAGGAGTGCTTCGGCTCCTCGTCGTGAGAAGTACGAGGTAGAGGGAGCCCGGGGCGAGTCTTGGGGTCGTCGTGTTCGCTTGTTGCGTGTTATCTAGGGTTGAGCATGGAGGCATGATTGCGGTGCAAGTTGGAGTGTCAATTCTTGCGCTCGGAATGCGGACTGACTTAGAGTGACTGACGGACGGACTGACCGGCTGACATCTAGGGTTGAAGACGAGCAAGTGTGAGTAATTTAGGTGCTGATCCATTCCATTCCGGTGTTTGCCACTAGGGCAGAGGGCGAGGACAGGCCCGGTCGCAAGAGGAGAGGACTGGACAGCAGGTGGTGGTAGGTGGCTCGGCTCAGAGACGAAGTAAGAGGAGTCTGTCGTTGTTGTCACCATGAACCCCGAATATGATTATCTGTTCAAGCTTCTGCTGATCGGAGATTCAGGTGTCGGGAAGTCGTGTCTGCTGCTGCGATTTGCGGATGATTCCTACTTGGAGAGTTACATCAGCACAATCGGGGTGGACTTTAAAATCCGGACGGTGGAGCTAGATGGGAAGACTATCAAACTCCAGATTTGGGACACGGCAGGTCAGGAGCGATTCAGGACGATCACTAGCAGCTATTATCGCGGAGCGCACGGCATAATTGTGGTGTACGACGTAACAGATCAGGAAAGCTTCAATAATGTGAAGCAGTGGTTGAATGAGATTGACCGCTACGCAAGCGAGAACGTGAACAAGCTACTCGTAGGAAATAAGTCCGATCTTGCTTCGAAAAAGGTGGTGGACACTCAGACAGCGAAGGCGTTCGCCGATGAGATTGGAATTCCGTTTCTAGAGACCAGTGCGAAGAACGCGACCAACGTTGAGGAAGCCTTCATGACTATGGCGGCTGAGATCAAGAATAGGATGGCCAGTCAGCCTGCCATGACGAGCACCAAGCCTAGTACTGTACAGATGAAGGGACAGCCTCTTCCCCAGAGCGGTGGGTGTTGCTCCTGAGCAGGTGATGCATGCAGGGAGAAATCATGGGCATAGTACTGTCGTGGCAGGAACTATCACTGTCTTTCTTGAAGGCATGTGCTGGATCAGTGGAGTAGTTCGAAACGCAAGACAATTTATAGCTGTAGCTCATTCTAGGGTAGCCGGCCACTTGGATTATACTGGCAGTGTTGACAGGGGGGAGCGCGTTGCTTACGAGGATTCTTTACCATGAATTCCGAATATGATTTTTCCTTCAAGCTTTTGTTCATCGGCGATTCTGGTCTTTGGAAGTCTTGTTCTGCTTCGATCTACTAGAACATCCCTGCTTTAACACAGAGTTCAAAAGTTGACCTTTCGAGAGTTAGGGTACATGGTGAAGAAGCAGTTTGTATAGTTGCAAGCAAGACACCCAGACTAGTGTGACCCAGATTGTGATCCAGATTACTCTCTCAGGAGGGCGTTCGAGTGCACCTTTGGATGCCCGCTCGTCCAGTGCGTATCATCTACAGATGATTTGCAAATTGCACTTAATTGCATTGTCTGCATTTGGCGAAAACAAAATAAATAATGTGAAGTCCACAAATTTGTGCAGCTACCTGATTTTTTGCTTCGGATGTGCTGGCAGTCACTTGCAGACACCCGGCTCTTATCTGATCTCTTGGACTGGACTTTCAGAGCGTTGTTTATATACCAACTGAAATGTATGAAGGTCTGAAATGGCACGTAAATGGAGTCCAGAACGTCGTCAGAACTTACGTCTCGTCAACATTCGTCTTAGAGGGAAATGAGTCGGGGAGACTGAATGAGAAGCTTTGGTGCGTAGTGTGGCTGTCTGGATTTGGATTTCAATCTGTAACGAACAGGAGTCATAATCCTCCCAAGTATAATATTCTCCCACAAATGCTTGCAACTCTTCCAGGTGCCTGGGTGTGCAGGTGAAGTAAGCCGAGCTGATGCAAGTTACAGAAACCCAGACTCAGAAAAGAATCTTCAATTAACACAGTTGTATACGTCTCCCTCGAATATAGCGTTCAATTGCTATACAATTTGGGACACCTCAGTCACGCAGCATACACTGCCGGTCTGCAATCACTCCGATCTCCACACGTCTGCTTATGTGACCATTCAAAGTGTTGCTTGCACGAAAATTCACCTTGTTCAGATGAGCGGGCTCTTCGTCTTGTCTAGTTTGTCCACTAGACACAAGGACCAAATCAGACAAACTCAACTCTAGAAAGGTTCTGCTCTCTTCACGACTGGGCGCGTCGACAGCTGGGAAGAAAGGCAGTACCCGGACCCTGAAGTCCAATGATGCACACATCTCTAAAAGTCGTGTCCGGAAAAGATCACCCAAAAGCACCGAAGGAGACTTTCTCCACTGTCGGCGACTCATCAATCACTGCGAACGGGAACAGAAAGACGGTAGAGCTTGCAAAGACGCCCTTCCCCTCCTGTCCCATGCTAGCTAGAGGTCACCGCCTCTTTTCCCCCCCGCCCCGTGACAGCCGGATCTCCCAGACTGTATTTGGACCATTAGCGGAATCACAGTCCTGCTAACCAGCTCAAATTTCGGCCAGTACAGTAATTCGACACCTCGGCAGAAGGAGGAAGGTACAGAGTGAAAGAACAAAAAGGTTTTTCGGGGCTCAAGTTTGGACCGTGGGGCGATGAGCTCGCTCGCTCTCCCAGCGGGCAGCAGTTGCTGAACACCAGAATCACCAGAATCACCAGACTCAGCGAACAACGGGCAAGAAGCAAGGGGGGGCACTGAGAAGGAACGAGTGGCTTCGAGCGTTTGGAGTATGTTTCTGACAGGCGCCACCGTCATCGTGACAGCCAGCTGTTGTCCACTTCCAGGCTTCCATATATTTGTAACACCACGTGGTGCTCGAACTAATCTGGTGAAACGCTCGTGAGCCAGTCAATCCCACATGTTTCGTTTTGCAGCGAGTGTTGTCTCCTCCTCGTAACATGTTTTCACCGGTTCCAGATTGCCCCTTCCACTTCCCCAGCATATGGCAGATTGTCATCTGCGCAGCGTTTGTGTCATTCCAATTTGTAACTACAAATGTATCCCACGGCGTTTTTTAGTGCGGGGATCCCGTAGTTTGTGCTCTTATAGGCGATGTACACTTTGGATTCTACTGACCAATTATAATTTGATAAATTCAACCATTATTGTAACTATGAGATTTTGCTTTCTCTTCCTCCACCCACATGCACAACCATAACTCACATGTGAGAGTTGTTTTGTTAGATATGAGGAATCCATATGACAAGTTGCCCACTGAAATCTCCTGGTAAACTTATTTTTTAAGTGATGAGGGTTGTGTGTATATTATGGCTCTAATTTATGCATGCCTCATGTTAACTGGGCGTTTGGTATATATTGCATTCGACTCAACTGGTATATCAATATAATTGGTGGGGAGTATTAAGTTGTGGTCACAAATCTTAAAGGTGATAAAGTTGAAGAGGGGTGAGTAGAGCTATGTCATACAAGGTGTGTAACTAACTATACGGGTTGGAAAAAAAAAAGATTTATTTGTTTGTTTAGCCATTGAATTATACAGATTTATAAACATTGACTTGGATATGTTTGGCACAGGATAATAAAATAGAAATATCATTTTTAGTTAATTTATAGTATATTTTAAGTAACGTTTATCCATCAATTTTGAAAAACAAGCGCTTGGGTAATATTGCTTTTTTGGTAAATCCAGTAGATAGTACAGTGTATATCTATTTGAAAAAAATGACATAATCTTATTGTGATATTATTGAGGTCTAGCTCCATGTAACAATGGTAACTTTCCATCTTTTTTGCTATCTCTTAAGGAAATAATCTTCCAATCATTTTTATATCTTATGCAAGCCTTACAAGTTTTTGGTGGAATATTAAACTAACATATTAACTTATTATAAAAATATGTGAGATATATATAAATAGATAAAACACATTGTAAACATATTTTGTAAACTATTAATAATAAAAAAATGAACTTTTTTTGCAAACTCTCAGAAATTTGATTTAATCCTAATTTATGTAATCAATCATTTCATACTCATTGATAATAAGTATGAAAGTAATAAAAAAGTTACCAAATTTATATAAATTTGATGAATCAGGTAAAATGCAGTATAAGTATATGTACAAAAATGCAGAATTAACTATTTCATGATAAAATGAAGTGTAAAAAAAAATTCGAAAGATTTCTAAGAGCTTTCATGATTGTTTAAAAAATACTACATATGTATCTATTAGTTTAAATGAATAAAATTTAGTTAAAGTCAATCTATTATGAATTAGGTACACATTAGCTTAATATAATCTATTTTGAATAAAAATTGCAGTAGAACTATAGTCAATAGATATGAAAATATATTTCATTTAGAAGATTATATTTCTTTTAATATACAAAAAGGAAAATTGCTAAGAAAGAACGCAAGTGTTTTTTGGAAGTGGTAGAAATTGGACAAAATATGAAAATTGTAGTGATCCTAGCACCAGCATGGCCTTGTGGCTTCTTAGCTTTCAACCAACTCACAAATTTTGATTTTTGCTTTTGGCAGACATGAAGTAAAAAGATCCTAACATTTCTTTCTCGGCATCGTATGTCCATGCATTACAACTTTGCTATACTCTAGAATGGCTAAGATAAAATATGAATATCATGGATTCCATGATCATGAGTAATTATATTCAGTTTAAACACTTAAATGAATGAACAAGACAAAGAATAATATCCACATAGTCATTTAATCTATTATTTATCATACTATACAAATGAATGATCACTTTATATTCTATTGTAATAGAATAAAATGCAAGATAATTTTGCAAAGATGTATGAGATTAACATATAAATTTTTCATTTTAAAGAGTACAATGATTGAGAGACGGAACTAAATCAAACATGAATATGGTGAAGGAAAAAACTTAGATAGTTAAGTAAAAATTTGGAAATTTTCTAAGATGACGAATTTTTTGAAATATCTACTTTCATGAATAATTATAATAAATTGATTGAAAATGATCATGTATACAATCTTACATAAATTTGTTGCATTATGTAAAATTCATTTTGTGTGTGAGTTGATATAGTTCTTTACTTCTTTATCACATAGTATAAATGTTTGGGGTCTTTGTGGGAATGATTTATGATTCATTACCAACTAGGTACGGTCACGTAGCCGGCTTACTTTCAACTAGTCGTGTTGTGCAAATATGTATTGTCATATAACCTATATTGCTGACATGTCATATTCATACGCACACATAAATGAGAAACAAGAGTGTACATATAAACACAAATGTATCACAACTAAAAATATCCGTGAAAATCTCTCTAGCCTTAAACATGAAACTCATATAAAAGTCGAGCCAAGTCCACTCCACAACTCGGAAAATTCAGGCCAAAGCTAACGGATTGTCATAGCTGATCAACTAAAAGCTATTCCTCACGCAAAAGTCTCAACTTAATAATTGAAGGTTCTTCGAATCTTCACGCGACTATAGTTTCCAACAAGAATTAATTCTTCTGATTTGAAACTAATTATACACAACACATATGGACATGGCAGCTAGCTATCCCATACAAACGACTAGTCGGATAGTGTCTCAAATTTAGCCAACTAATCGCGGATTTAGCAGATTTCAAAACGTGTCGTGATTGCATAATCAGTTTCCACGTGCCTCTATGATCCAACTGTCAATTGGAATGGATATTCTTTAAACTTCAAATGTTCCGATACATTTTTTCTCTTTAAAATTTTGAAGTTCAGTTTTTGAACTTTTGTGAGAGAAGTGGGAAGAAAGATCAAACTTTTGTGAGAGTAGTGGGAAGAGAAATCTACAATGAAGCACAATATATATTTGTTTTCTGGTTTGCAAATGCAGAAGATTGTAGTGGAAGTTTTTTGTTTTGTTGCTCTTGCTGTATGTGTTGGCGAGGCGTGCAGAAGACAAAAGACCAAACAAGATATAAATGTAATAACATTGAAGTTATGAAAATTTTATACTATGTGTAGTACAAACCCTACTTACATGAAATTCCGCATGACAATGAGATGATAGACCAGGTTGTGTCTTTCTTGATACCAACGTCGTCGGATGAAGACTCTGACGTTGTTTTACCCTCACCCTCAATGGTTATATCATCCACAAATCAACAAACGATGAACAAAAGCAGACTTTGAATTTATCCATACTTTGTAGATGTACCAAGATCAGATAGCCTAGTTTGCGTTGTGAGCAAGTTGTGTTCAAAAAGTTACTCCATTCCTTTGGCAATGTCAAATCTTGTTTTTCATCTGAAGAACAATCATCGTATCTAGGATTGAAGGCACAAAGAAATTTCTAGTTGCATACTCATCATAACTTTCAAGGTCAAAAGACGTGATCTAAACATGACTGTATGTATATACAAAGTGTTATGCATACAGTCATGCTTCAAGTAGGCCTTCACGAAGTTTGAATTTATAAAAAATTATTTTGTTACATTTTCAAGACAATAAGTCTTCTACATTCCAATCTTCCTCATCTACCACTACTATCTAAATCTTCATTGTTGTTTTGTTGAGATGTG